CTTATTTGACCATACCGCCACTCATCTAGTGTAGAAAATATTTCCTTCTTATTTCTTAAATCATATAAAGAACATACCCCTTTTCCCATAATATCTTTTAAATGTGCATTTCTATCAATAATCCATTTCCCTGAGAAATTTTCGTTTCCAGGCGGAAAAAAATCTCGTTCCCGCCAGCGGGATTGATAGTGAATTAAACTTCCACTCCTTCTGCTTGTGTAATTTTATCCAAAATCTTAAATATATTTCGTGTCAAAGTGCTTGTGTCCTCATCACACATACGAAATTCCTGTGGTATCCAAATATACTTATACAGGTGAAACGCGAAAAAATTAGAATATCATGCAAAAGTTCATTTATTTCAGTAATGCAACTTAAAAGGTGAAACTAATAAATGAGAGACTACATGCAAAGCAAGATAGTTCAAGCCATGATTTGTCATAATTGTGATGATTATGGCTTACAGCTCATGAAAACCCCAAATCCACAATCTCAGAAAATTAGAATATTACATGCAATCAATAAAACAAGGATTGTACATAGAACAATATCGGACCTCTGAAAAGTATAAGCATGCATATGTACTCTGTACTTGGTTTGGGCCCCTTTTGCAGCAATTACTGCCTCAATGCGGCGTGGCATGGAAGCTATCAGCCTGTGGCACTGCTGAGGTGTTATGGAAGACCAGGATGCTTCAATAGCTGCCTTCAGCTCTTCTGCATTGTTCGGTCTCATGTCTCTCATCTTTCTCTTGGCAATGCCCCATAGATTCTCTATGGGCTTCAGGCCAGGCGAGTTTGCTGGCCAATCAAGCACAGTAATCCCACGGTCATTGAACCAGATTTTGGTGCTTTTGGCATGGTGGGCAGGTGCCAAGTCCTGCTGGAAACTGAAGTCCGCATCCCCATAAAGCTCATCTGTGGAAGGAAGCATGAAGTGCTCCAAAATCTCCTGGTAGACGGCTGCGTTGACCCTGGACTTAATGAAGCACAGTGGACCAACACCAGCAGGTGGCATGGCTCTCCAGATCAACACAGACTGTGGAAACTTCACACTGGACTTCAAGCATCTTGCAGTGTGTGCCTCTCCATTCTTCCTCCATACTCTGGGTCCTTGGTTTCCAAATGAGATGCAAAAGTTGCTCTCATCAGAAAAGAGGACTTTGGACCACTGAGCAACAGACCAGGTCTGTTTTTCTTTAGCCCAGGTAAGACGCTTCTGACGTTGTTTGTTGTTCAGGAGCGACTTGACAAGAGGAATATGACATTTGAAGCCCATGTCCAGTATCTGTCTGTGTGTGGTGGCTCTTGGTGCACTGACTCCAGCCTCAGTCCACTCCTTGTGAAAGTCCCCATTACTTTTGAATGGCCTTTTCCTGACTCCTCTCCAGGCTGCGGTCATCCCTGCTGCTTGTGCACCTTTTTCTTCCACACTTTTCCCTTCCACATAACTTTCTATTAATGTGCTTTGATACAGCACTTTGGGAACATCCAACTTCTTTTGCAATTACCTTTTGAGGCTTTCCCTCCTTATGGAGGGTGTCAATGATGGTTTTCTGTCAGGTCAGCAGTATTTCCCATGATTGTGATTCCTACTGAACCAGACTGAGAGACTATTTAAAGGCTCAGGAACCCTTTTCAGGTGTTATGGCTTAATTAGCTGATTAGAGTGGGACACTTTGAGCCTAGAATATTACACCTTTTCACAATATTCTAATTTTCTGAGATTGTGGATTTGCGGTTTTCATGAGCTGTAAGCCATAATCATCACAATTATGACAAATCACGGCTTGAACTATCTTGCTTTGCATGTAATGAGTTTATCTCATATATTAGTTTCACCTTTTAAGTTGCATTACTGAAATAAATGAACTTTTGCAAGATAATCTAATTTTTTCGAGTTTCACCTGTATAATGGTGCTTTATCCAACACAACAAACACTTTTTCTCCTGCGCTAGGAAAGGACTCAGTAGACCCAATAGGAATGTTCTGGAATTTTCTGGAATATGCACAGCTTGCTGCCCTCAACAGACTGGGGTGGTCCAAATACACTGGATGCAAATGGAGAAACAGAAAAAGGGTGCACTGACCTAGTGAATTATCGTTTTAAAATATTTATTGAAGAAACAAAGTAAGTATCATATTCACAATAGCCATAAAAACACAGGCATGTCAAACTGAACAAGATGTATGATCCAAACAACATCTGAGTCCATACGATGGAACCCTGGATGACCAACTGGCTAACGCGTTTCGAGGACACAACCTCTTCCTCAGAGCCAGTGAAATCACAGATGGCAACGGGGATAGGAAACATCCCTGCCTGGTTCCATTGTACATCCTAAAAAATTTGGATATTGAGCCATTTGCTTTTACTGCAGCTAAGGAATCCCTATATAGCTCTTTTATCCACTGCATCATTCTAGGCCCGATTCTTAATGTTCTCAACATATCGTTCATAAACCCCCAGTCTACTCTATCAAAGACAACCTACAGAATAATTCCTGGACCCCTCTCCTTTTTCCTTTTTTTTGTAAAATAAGTAATGTTCTTAAACCGTTATTTTTTCCCTATCTTCCCAGGATGAATCCTACTTGATCCAAGTGTATCCAGTCAGACATCAGCTCTTTAAACCTTGTCACTAATACTTTCGCATAAAATTTTGTATCGGTATTCAACAAAGATATTGGTCTGTAACTGGTACACTGAGACCAATCTTTACCTTCCTTAGATATAACCATAATATATGCCTGTAGCGACTCCTCCCTCATCTTTTTCTCCTCTCCCAGTGCATTCATATAAATACATAACCAGAAGTGGGGATCCAAACGATCCTAGTAGGTGCGTGGGATAAGATTCTGTGCAGCACACGGTGAATCTGAGGTAAGAATTACGCACTCACCAGAAGTGCGTGAAAAAAAACGCATGTAGGTTTTATCCTGTAATATCAGAAAACGATCATCCGTTGCCAAGATAGGGATAGAATCCTACACCTTCCAGATCGCCCCTTGGGTATGTGCTTCAAGTTTCATAAGCGCATCTCAGGCATATCACCATCCGGGGTCCCCTTTTAAGGCAGATTCTGCAAGTGGGGACTCTGCTTTACCTCTCTATTGTCTGGGCTGAGGGCATGAGCTGAGGACATCTTGATAGCTCCAACCAAAAAAAATAAAAAAATCACATCACATGTGAAATCCAGAATCCTCCGCACCAAAGCTTCTTCCGGTCATGTGATCGCGAAACCTTCTGATTAATTTTTTGAGACTATTATTCATCTCATCTAACTTCACCGCAGTGTGATTTGATATTGGCACTTTTGTGTTTTTATATATTTATATGTTATTATAGCGCTACACCTTATATATGGTCTCTATATATATATATGTCTATGTACTTTATTTGAAGGTTTTCTCTTGGTTACCTTTTGGTGTTCTAGCCGCTTTCAGATTTCCGGATAGCACTCGCTTTTTATTTTATTTTGTATATAAATACATAACTTAGGGGCTAGTTGTTCTTTAAACTTCTTATAAATCCCATTGTGAGTCCTGGACTTTTCCCTTTTTGTTAATCTGGCTTTATCTAATCTAGGCATACTGACCTTGTTCAGATAAATCAACCTCTTCTTCCTTCTCTCTTCTTCTGATGCCTTCTGAGATTTACCTTCTGACCCATATAGCCTACTATAAAATCTCTGAAATGTATTGGTGATATTGGTGGTTAAATATACCATCTCTCCTTTTTCATCTTTAATTCTATATATAAAGTTCTTTGATTTCTTTTCCTTCAACTTCCTCAATAAGTATTCTCCCGGTTTATTCCCCCACCGATATCTTTCCTTCGAAACCCCATTAAAAATGTTCCTTGTTTCTTGTTCCATAAAGTCCTTTAATTCCTCCCTTTTTAATATTAACTCTATTTATCATCTTTTTGTGTAGTTGTTCTAGCTGATATAGTTCTTATTCTTTTTCCCTGCTCTTTCTTTATCTCCGCACCTATTGCTATCAATATACCCCTGATATAAGCCTTATGTGCTTCCCACACCATGGCGATGGAAACTTCCTCAGACTCATTTATCTTAAAATATTGATCTGTTTCCTGTCTTACTCTTATTTCCGCTTCTGGGTTTTGTAAAATAGTCTCGTTTAATCTCTACATATTAAATTTACTCTTTCCCCTTCCAAACCGTAGTTTCATTGTGACGGGCATGGTACGATATATAAATTACATCTATGTTAGTTTTCACCAAAGACTGCAAGAGTCTGTGTTCGATCAACATATATTCCAGACTTGAATACATCCTGTGCAACGCAGAGAAGAAGGGTATAGTCTCTTTCCTTTGGGTGATGAAGAACAATTATTTAATTGCAAAATTTTGTAACAGAAACAAAGAAAAACCCGTTTTTTGTTTTTTTTTTCCCACACTTTTCAGTCTTTTTTCGTTAATTTAGCAAAAAAAAATAAAAACTTCAGTCTTCAGAAAGCTCTAGTTGTATGAGCAAAATGCTAAAAAATTAGTTTGGGTACAGAGTTGCATGACAGCACATTTGTCATTCAAAGTGTGAGAGCACTGAAAGCTGAAAATTGGCCTGGGCAGGAAGGGGGCAAAAGTGTCCAGTATTGAAGTGGTTAAAAGTTCTGCTTTAAATACTGACTGACGTCAAGTGCGGCCCAGTGGGAATCTGACGTAACTCCTGGTGTTAAAAAGCCCTCTTACCCCATGTATTGCTTTTCACCACTGAGCAAAATACTTAGTGATGACTTATTCGGACAAAAAAGCTAATAAAAGCAAAACAAAACGGGCAGATTCGATGGACTACTCCAGTATTTTTCTGCCGTCACTTTTCTTTGTTTATATGTTTGATGGGCTGATAGTAGAGCATCACTGGTTTAGCCAGACAGCAGTTCATCAGTGTTTGTGTAGTGTTTTAATTTTTTTTTTTTTTTTTTTTGTTACACAATTTCTTTGGCTTTATTATTATTGTTCTTATTTGCTTTTTCAGAGGAGTGGCTACTTGTTGGAACTAAGCAGGGTCATCTGCTGCTTTACAGAGTCAAAAAAGAACAAGGTGAGTTCTGTACCTGCATTGTTTATATCTGTTGCTGAACTATATTTTAAGTCTTGGATGCACTTATCGTAGCATAACAATTACGCCATGTGGCCTGTGCAGATTGTGGACTAGTAGTTCTATTTTTAACTCTACTCATTGCTGGTTTTGTCCACAATAAATGCAGGTCCTTTGATGTTTATATGTAGCTGTAGTTCATAAAGGTATTTGGGTTTGCCTATAGCTATTTGTCTTCATTTCAAAGTGCAAAGAAGATAAAAATAGAACTGTTATATATTTTTAAGGCCTCATTCACACCATGCTGCAGAAACGTCAGTTTTTCTGCACACATTCTGCAAGGGCACAACAAAATCAATTGTTCTTTATGTACCCTGTTCACGCCACAACACTAGTAACACGTGCAGTTTTTTTTTCTGCACAGGAATCTGCAACATGTATAAAACGCATTGAAGTGTGCAAGTGAAATCTGCGCGTCAGTTTCCATCAGTTTTTCTACATGTATAGTGTGAATGAGGCCTAAAAGTACCTGGCACCTGATACTGCCCATAGACTTGGAAGAAGGTTCATTTATGCATCTCCTAATATATTCACAGAGAGCAATTTTTGTTTTCTAGGTTGTAACCAGTTTGAAGTAACTTTGGAGAAATCAAACAAGAACTTTGCTAAGAAAATTCAACAGGTGAGCACAGTATGGGTGTGTTTATCTACCTGTATAAGTATATTTTGGCTATTGCCTCAACATTGCCATTCGGTATTTAAACTTTAGATCTGTTTTAAATTGTTATTCCAGTCAAAACTGGATAGAGTTGGGAAGGGTTAGATTATTTGTCAGCTCTCTGTACCCAAGTTGATCTATCAACTATAGCCGTAATCACTGTGTTCTCCTGGCAGGGAAGGCTCTCCGTGTCCCCCCCCCCCCCCCCCCCCTGCTGTGAGAACACAGTAGCGCTAAGTGGGGGATTCACCCATCAACACTAACTCTGTTGATGCGGGAATCGAGCAGTTTTCTTTCCTGCAGCCTGTGGAAAGTTGCACCATCTATGGCCTCCCTTAGTAGAGTGCTGGTTCCTAGAGTCTAAAGAAATCAGAAGTCAAAATTCTAATTTATACAGGCAGCTTTCTGTCAGCTGGGGTATCATAAAAAGTCCCTGGAGTAGTCCTTTACAGCAGGGGTCTCCAAACTATGGCCCTCCAGGTGTTGAGCAACTGCAGGTCCCATGAGGCCTTGCAAGACTCTGACAGCCACAGGCAAGACTCTCAGAGGCAGAGGCATGATGGGACTTGTAGTACTTCAACAGCTGGAGGTCTGCAGTTTGGAGACCCCTGCTTTAGAGCATTAGAAGGATCTCATCCTTCTAATGCTCTAAAGCACGGGTCTCCAAACTGCGGACCTCCAGCTGTGCCACGTAACTCATTCCAGTTATGTAAGAATTTAATTTTTCTTTGCAAGTAATCAGAAATCCAAAACATTTGAGGGACTTCATCAGAGTTGTGTGCTGTCAATTTGATGATCTGGAACTAATGCTGTTCATATAATTTTGCAATTGGCTGTCCAATAAAAATCTGAAATTACTGACAGCACGTAAGCCCTTATGAAGGGGGAGTTTTGAACCCCCTGCCAAAGCATTGGACATTTTAATTACTTGAATTAAAAAATAAAATTCTTACTGGACTAAAACACACCTTGTGGGTTTCGTATCCTTTTAAGTAGTTATGCAATGTTTGCTGTAGGTAACTTCTCCTTATACGTTTCTAATTGTACTTGGTTCCAGTTGCTAAGGTATCCATGTACAAAGTTTTATATTAATAATATTTTTTGCATTTCTCTGTAACTGTTCAACAAAATTGATGTTTTATCTTTCAGATTCATGTTGTTCCTCAATTTAAGATCCTGGTCAGCTTGCTTGGTGAGTTGTGAAAGACTGGTCACGTGCACATCCTGGTACTAGGCTGTTGTGCTATTCTAATCTGTGATTTTCTCTTTGCACCATAGATAACAATGTGTGTGTCCATGACTTGCTCACCTTCCAGCTTATGACTACTATTTCAAAAGCTAAGGGTGCTTCACTAATATCATGTGATCTCCAGGTGAGGGAATTGCATATCATTTCACTTTTTCTGTGCTCATTTTTTATATTTTTTGCATTTTATTTTAAAGGGATTCTATAGTACTTTTTCATTTTTGTACATTAGGGCATACATATTTGCTCAAACTGCAACAAAGTGAGAAGGAAGCTGAGCTTTTGTAAATTGCAGTAGATCTATGCCAGAGAAGTATATTAGTGAACCAAGTTTATGCGTATATAAATCCAAGATCAAAAACTGAATGTATTGCTGCTTATCTTTTTTTAGATGTAGTGGCTGAATTATTCTTTTTTTCATGCTTTCTTTTTTTTTTCACCTTGTGCTCCTGGAACACACACCTCCTGTCCTAGAATAACTGTATTGCATCTAAGATAAGCAGTGTTTTCACCCTAGGATGGGAGTATTAGGATTATGTAACCCCTACCTCTCTCCATAAAATCAGGAAGTGCTTTGTAGTGTACAGAGATTGTATCAGTGCCAGGGCTACAGATGACACTCACTGCCACAACATCCCAACAATCATAAATATCAATATCAGTCCCTCAGGACAGAGGAGAAGCATATGGAATTTTTAAAAAATCCCATATGCCTTACTTTAAAAAACTTGTATGCCTTCCCTCTGTCCTGAGGGACAAACATTGATATTTAATGTACAGAGATAGCATGGAACAATGCTAACTGATAACATTCCAGAGGCAGAAATTACAAGAAGTTATCAGCTCACAAGTTTTCTGGCTGGATGAATAGCTATTTTTTTTTTTTTGCATATATACAGTATGGTATATTTAACAAGTCAAAAGGGAGTAAATAAGAGATTTGTTGGAATTTTTGTACTCTAAGGTTACAAAAATACAGTATTTTTTAAATTTGTGTTCATTCAGAGATTTGTTAAAGAATTTTTTTTTATATATATAATAAATAATCACAGACGTCAAATAGTGTAACATTTATCATAATCTGATCAGTAGAGGCTGGATACATCAAATACCAGTGGTATTATAAAGTCTTTTCTCAACTTCATTGAAGACCCATTTATGAAAAAATATTTATCAAGTACCTCCTAGTGTGGTTTAACTTGTCACTGATTTATTTATTACACATACTTGTATAGTGCTTTCAATTTACGTACTCTTTACATACATATTGTGCATTCACATCAGTCCATAACCTTCAAGGAGTGTATAATCTAAGGGCCCTAACTCGCATTCATACATGCACATACTAGGGCCAATTTTAAACAGGAGCCAATTAACCTACTATGCAACCTATACTATATCTATGCAAGTCGCACATGAACTTGCAAAAAGTAGTGCGTGAACTACCTTCAAAATACGAGTGACTCCAACGGTTTGTAAAAGCTGATACAGTGGCAAAAATAATTATTTGATCCCCTGCAGATTTTTGTAAGTTTGCCCATTTACAAAGAAGTAAAGGGACTATAAGTTTTTATCATAGGTGTATTTAAAATTTTTATACAGACAGAATATCATCCAAAAATCCAGAAAAAAAATAAACGGAGTTGCAGTTCAGTGAGTAAGTATTTTATCCCTTACCAACCAACAATAATTCTGGCTCCCACACACTGGCTGTACGCTAATGTGATACACAGATTAGTCCTGTCAATTTAAGAAGGTGCTCCTAACGACAACTCGTTATGGGTTTAAAAGACACCTGTCCACAGAATCTTTCCTCCATTCAAACCTCAACACCTCAAACCACAAGGGACAAGATTGTAGACGTGCACAAGGGTGGAATGGGCTACAAGACCATCAGCAAGAAGCTTGGTGAGAAGGAGACAACTGTTGGAGCGATTATTCGCAAACGAAAGAAATTAAAAACAACCATAGCCTTTGGTCTGGAGCTTCATGCAAGATTTCGCCCCATGGGGTAAGGATGATCATGAGAAAAGTGAGGGATCAGCCCAGAACTACAAGGGAGGAGCTTGTGAATGATCTCAATTGTGGCAGTTGGGACCACAGTTGCCAAACAAACCATTGGTAACACAATATGCCGCCATTTATTGAAATCCTGCAGCGCACGCAAGGTCTCCCTTCTCAAGAAGGCACATGTACAAGCCCGTTTGAAGTTTGCCAATTAACATCTAAATGCCTCAGAGAAGGATTGGGGGAAAGTGCTGTGGTCCCATGAGACCAAAATTGAGCTCTTTGGCATTAACTCGACTCGCCGTGTTTGGAGGAAGAACAAATGCTGACTATGACCCAAAGAAACGCCATCCCTACAGTCAAGCATGGAGATGGAACCATTATGCTTTTTGGCTGTTTCTCTGCTAAAGGTACAGGCCGATTTTGCTGCATTGAGAAGCCAATGGACGGGGCCATGTATTGTAAAATCTTGAATGAGAACCTTCTTACCTCAGCCAGAACACTGAACATGGGTCATGGATGGGTCTTCCAGCATGACAATGACCCAAAACATACCGCCAAGACAACAAAGGAGTGGCTCAAGCAGGAGAACATTTAGGTCATGAAGTGGCCTAGCCACTCTCCAGACCTTAATCCTATAGGAAATTTATGGAGGGAGTTGAAACTTTGAGTTGCCAAGAAACTGTGAGGATTTTGAAAAGATCTTTAAAGAAGAGTGGCCCAAAATCCATGAGATGTGTGCAAACCTTTGTAACCAACGACGAAAAACATCTTTACCTCTGTGCTTGCCAACAAGGATTTCTCCACCAAGTACTAAGGCTAGGTTCAGGTTCACACCTATGCCGTTTGCGCTTGATCCGTTTCTGCAGTGCATTTTTGCACATGTGTTTTTGACGTGTTTTTTTTTATCTTAAAACTCAAAAATGCCGCAAAAACGCACTACATGCTTTTCTGCAGCATTTCAATTGAAGTCTGTAGAAACAAAATTGCAACTTTTTGCGTTTAAAAAATGTCCCTGACCCTTTCCAAAAAACACACCGGGTGAAAACGCGGAGTTGTGAACCTGTCCCATAGGAAATCATGTTAAATGGACTGTACTGCGTTTCTGCAAAATGCTGCAGAAAACTTAGGTGTGAACCTAGGGGAAGTTATGCTTTGCTTTGGGATTCAATACTCCTTTTTACTCGCTGAACTGCAACTCAATTTTATAACATCATTATCATGTGGTTTTTTTTTTCTGGATTTTTGGTTGATATTATCTCTGTCATTTTAAAATACACCCATGATAAAAAAATATAAACCCCTCATTTCTTTGCAAGTGGGCAAATGTACAAAATCTGCAGCTGATCAAATTATTTTCCCCACTGTATTAAGGAGAAGGCAGAATGACAGGCAATGTTCATGCAGTCAAATGTGCTGCATTGACCCATATTGACAATGACTGCATTCGTTCATTTTTAAAACCTTGTTATTCTTGCAGATCACTAAATCGGGAGAAGAGACTCTGAAGATGTGTGTGGCTGTCCGTAGAAAATTACAGCTATATTACTGGAAGGACAGATCATTCATTGAACTTCAGGTGACTATGTTTGTATTGTAAAACAACACCCTTACCATTTAGCACATTTTTCAAATTCTGAACACAGCAGAGCAAAGGTGTGTGTGTATGGTAAGTGAGGTAATCATCGTCTTAGTACTTGTGTTCTGGCATTTTGGCACTTAAGCACAAGGAATGTTTTGTTGCCTCCTCTAAGTATGTATTCGGCTTTATCATGCATGAGCAATCCGCCAATTAATAATGGGCATAATGATTTATTTCTGAGAAGTGTTTGGAAAAATTAGATGAATTGGTTACACCTTTTTAACCACTTGCAGACCAAGCATTTTCTAGCATTTTTGTTTACAATGTAACAATCAGTATTTTTTGCTAGAAAGTTTCTTAGAAGCCCCAAAAATTTTATATTTTTTTAAAGCAGGGGCCCTAGAGAATAAATTGGTGGATGTTGTAATTTTTTATGGCACACAGTAGTTGCGCAGAGGTTTTTTAAAGGCAATTTTTTGGGAAAAAATACACTTAATTTTTTTGCAAAAAAACCCACAAAACACAACCCAATTTTTGAGACATATAACCGATAATGTTACGCCGAGTTAATAGATACCAACCGTGTTGCGCTTTATAATTACGCACACGTGTACAACGGTGACCATGTAAATTTTACTATTTATAGGCGATGCTTTAAAAGCCTTTACAGTTTACCACTTTAGATTTACAGAGGAGGTCAAGTGCTAGAATTGCAATGAATGTCAGATCTTAGGCAGTGATACTTCACATGTGTGGGATGATTGCTGCTTAAGTGTATGCAGGACCGATGGGTGTGGTGACCTTTGGACAAAGGCACTCTGAAGTGTATTTTTTTATTTTTACAAGGTCACTTTAAACATCCTTTGTAACAGCAATAGGCAGGTGACTGTGCTTTTGACTGAAGTGCTTCTGATCAGGAGACTTTCATCGTTCTTTTCCTGAGACAGCTGCAAGCTGATTGTGTGATGTGTAGTGGTCCCAGTCTCATTGCATCTGCTCTAATGAAATTGGAGATTCATTTTTATGACCGATCCCTATTTTTGCTAGGTTATAATTGTCAAATCATAGCAATCACAACCTAGGAGTGAGTGTATTAGTGATATTAAAGTCTCAGGTTTTTAAAAAAAAAAAAACCCAAACAGACCTGTCATACTTACCTTCTCTGTCCAGTGGGTGTTAACAGAGCAGCCCTGATCCTAGTCTTCTCTGGTCCCCATACTGCGTTCCTGGCCCATGCCCCCAGTTACAATCTCTTGCTCTAGGGACACTCATGAATGCATGCTCCCAAGCCCCGCTTTGTCTTGAAGGGAGAGGTGCAGCAGTGGGGGAGAAGCATCCACTAGATTTTTCACCTTCATGTATAGAGGCCTTTACAACCACTTTAACCACATCCCCACTGCCCTATAGCAGATATACAGGGGTGTGCAAAATCATGTAAATATACGTGATTTTGCATTTCCAGATAGGGGACATGTGCGCCCTACCTGCGCCGTCATTCACGGCCGTGGCTGTCAATCACGGGGTCCCGGACCAGTTATTACTCGGTGATTACCAAGGATCTCCGACGGGGAGGAGGGCTGCTTTGTTTACAAACAGTCGTCCTCCCTGTCGGCTCGGGCACACTGTTCTGGATGGCTGTGCAGAGCCATCTAGAGCAGTGTGCTTACAGTAAAGCCCACACACCGCCCCCCAGTAAAACACTCCCAGCACACAGTTAACCCTTTGATCACCCCTCATGTTAACCCCTTCCTGCCCAGTGCCATTATTACAGTGTCAGTTTTTTTTTTTTTCTAGCACTGATCGCTGTATTGGTGTCACTGGGGATGTCAGTGACACCAAGTCAGTTCCCCCCAGTCTCAGAATGCCCGCTGCAGTCCTGCTATAAGTTGCTCATCGCTGCCATTAGAAAAAACAAAAATCCAGTATCTATACCTATACTGCCAATTGTAAACGCTATAACTTTCACGTAAACCAATTAATTTACATGTATTGGGATTTTTTCTTGGCAAAGACATGTAGCAGAATTCATATCTTTTTGGTCTAAATTTATGACAAGTTTTGATTCTTTTAAAAAAATTTTTTACTGGACATGTTTAATAGCGAAAGTCCAAAATGTTTTTTTTTCTCAAAATTGTCGGTCTTTTTTTTTTTTTTTTTAGCGCAAAAAATAACGCACAGGCGATCAAATACCACTGAAAGAAAGCTCAATTCTTGGGAACAAAGGACATAAATTTCTTTTGGGTGCAGCGTTGCATGACCGCGCAATTGCCAATTAAAAGTAACACAAAAAATGGCCTGGTGAGGAAGGGGATAAATCCTCAGGAGGGCAAGTGGTTAAGCTCCCTGCACCTTCAATAGCGTAATGCAAGTAAAGGAAAATTAGAGCAAAGGTTTATATAATTTGTTCATGAAGTTGTTACATATTTTACTTTGTTTTTAGGGAGACTTCAGTGTTCCTGATGTTCCCAAATCCATGGCATGGTGCGAAAACTCCATTTGTGTGGGGTTCAAGAGGGATTATTATTTAATCAGGGTAAGTTGGAATTTCAACAGATAGTAGAAAGAGAAGATGTATAACGTGTTTAATTACTCTAACAAACATTAAATAAATTGCCAATAAAGTAGTAGGTTTTTTTTTGTTTTTAATTTATTTTCTGTTTTGTAATTCCTGCAGGTAGATGGGAAAGGCTCTATTAAGGAGCTGTTCCCAACAGGTAAGCAGCTTGAACCATTGGCAGTACCTCTGGGCGATGGAAAGGTTGCAGTGGGTCAAGATGATCTCACAGTGGTGCTAAATGAGGAGGGAACCTGCACTCCAAAGTGTGCCTTGAATTGGACAGATATCCCAATGGCAATGGGTGAGATTTTTATTAATTTTACTGTAGTTCAGAGACCATTAAAACCACTACGCAGTTACACAGCAGAGAAGTATACATTGAAGACCTCGCCCGTAAATGGTTCTACAGACTAAAGGTTTTCTTACCGTAATGCAGTCTGTGCATCAAGATAAAAACCTTTCATGTTCAGAAACCCCCCCCAATACTTACCTGAGCCCGATCTCGATCCAGCGATATCTCTCTCTTTCTCTCGATAATGTCTGCTAAAATCCTGTAAACCACCTATGCTAATTTTTTAGGCATTAGCCTGTAAATACTTTTTTTTTTTTTTTTTTTTTAAATTAAGTACAACATGTAAGTGGAATTAAACTCTCCAAAAACAGTGACATGCAAGCCAAGATTTTTATGACAGAAGACCCTATTGGTTTATTCTGTCATCACTGCTTCTCCCTGCTTGTCAGAGTTATTATAGACTAAGCCACGAGTGCACAGCTCAGCATACATTTACGGCACTGCTCTGTGCCGTGATATTACTCCTGCGTGCATGCACTTGATTGATTTTATTGCAGCCTGGCCAGTCCAGCTACCAAACTGTCAGAACCCCAAAAGAAGACTGGGAGATGATGGAAGTACATGTAACAGACAAGATTGCTTTTTTTTCTTCATAACAGAGCATCAGCCTCCATATATTATTGCGGTCTTGCCAAGGTACGTGGAAGTTCGGACATCTGAACCTCGTCTGTTGGTGCAGAGTATTGAACTTCAGCGACCCCGCTTCATTTCATCTGGAGGGTGAGTGCCTATGTGATTCTACAGATATTAACTTCTTTGCGGCTTTATTCAGTATTGGTTCCAGGAGCAAAGCAATAAGTGTGAAGTTTAGAAACCAATAGCAGCCAATCAATTTCTTATGCCTAAGTAATGCTATAAGATGGTTTTGGGCCGTATGGGTACAATACCTTGTTTCTTGCATTATTTATTGTAGGAGAGTATTGTACTATGGTAGCCATTGATTAATGCAGAAAGATTTGGAGTTGAAGTCATACCCATTATTAGCTAATTTAGGTTATTAAAGATGAAAGATTTTTTGAAAACCTGGATCCCTTTGTCATGCATTAAAGCCTGAAGATTCAAGAAACTTGAAAGCCTGTAACACTAATCACTTAAAGCTCTATTGAACCCAAAAGCAAACATTTATTATATTGTAGTTTACCACTTTTTAGATGTGATGGCTGCATTAGTTTTTTTTTTTTTTTTTGGCTTGTTTTCTTCTATTCTCATCTGGTGATCTGGCCTATAAATGTTTGTCAAAAGAACAAGCTCTCTTCTAGATGTATCAATTTTTCCGGGGATGAGACAAACCATTTAACACTGACAGGGCACTTAAAATTATCAGCTTTTATTTATTCATGTAAAACCTTTTATTCTAAAAGGAAATAAACTGTTTGCTGTAACATAGTGTGTGAGCTGGAGTTTGGCTTCAATATGGTTTTGTATTTGAAAAACTGATAATACATTAAACACTCCCCTCCCCCAGACTGACAGTGCTGCTGTCTGTTGTGCCCCCTATGCTTGTTCATCCAGAGTGGAGGCACTCTAATACATGAGGTATGTTGCTGCCCAGATTACCAAGTAAAAACACGGGGGGAAAAGCCTGAAAAAACAAATGCAGCCACCACATCTAATGATTAGTAAGCTGCAATAAATTACATATTTTGGTTTGGGGTTTAATACTGTGTTGGCTAATAGAGGATTCATTACACTACAAATCTTTCTACTTTATTTGGTGAAGTACACCTGTACTCTCCTTAACCACTTGGTAACCACTCTATAGCAGAATGACGGCTACAGCACAGTTACCCAGTTCTGGGAGGGCATCATATGACATCTTCCCAGAACATGCCCTCAGGGGTGAGGTAAAAGGCCAATCACAGCGGCCTTTTACCACCTGATCAGCTGAGTCCAATGACAGCAGATTACGGAGTAAATGTAGTTGCCGGTTATCGTCAGCACTTTCCTCACGCTGTCACAGCATGAGGAAAGTACTGCCGATAACAGGCAGCTGTCTCAGAGGAGATCGGCACTGATGATCAGTGCCCAGCAGTGCTGCCCATCAGGGCTGTCAGCGCCGCCTATCAGTGCCCATCATTGCTGAGTATCAATGCCTCCTCATCAGTGCCCACCAGTGCTGCCTATCTGTGCCACCTCATTGGTGCAGCATCATTGCACATCAGTGAAGGAGAAAAAGCACCTGTTGCAAAATTTTATTACAGAAACAAATATATATATATATATATATATATATATATATATATATATATAATCATTTTTTTTTTTTGCTCTTTTTTTGTTTATAGTGCAAAAAATAAAACACCAAGTGGTGTTTAACTTCCACCAAAAGAAGGCTCTATGTGTGAAAAAAAGATAAACACAAGGATCATTTCATATGGGTACAATGTTGCATGATTGCGCAATTGTCATTCAAAGTTCAACAGCGCTGAAAGCTGAAAATTGGCCTGGGCAGGAAGGGGGTATAAGTGCACAGTAGACAAGTGGATAAACACCTCAAAATAGCCACTTTTATCCAAAGCCCGCACTCTTCCTTTCCTTGAAAATTAGGTGTTTGTGCACACTGGTTTATATTCCATCAGTTGTGGTTTTTCCCTGTGTAGATTCCTGGTTTGTGATCTACACCGCAGAGCTAAGTACTTTTTTGACTGACTTATTGAACCTAATGCTGAGTATATACATAGTTTTTTTTTATTTTGTTGAACCCAACAAAGAAAAAACTGAGAGGTTGTCACTACTAAGTAATGTTAATGCGGAGATCTTCCCTGCTAAGCTATTGTGTTCTGACAGAGAGAATGCCTCCTCTGCTGGCAGAACACACTGATCAGCACTCGCAGCCATTGGCTGCAAGCGCTGATCGAATGCTGGTTTTCCAGCATGCTTGTTCAACGGGAGTCGGTTGTGAGATTGACTTCTGTCAGGCAGGGAGCTGTACACGCGGGCCAAGAGTTGTCCGGTTCCTGCAGAACCGACTATTTTTGGCCCGTGTGTACCCAGCTTTACTTTGCGGACGACCTTGTTTGGACAATGATGTTTACATTGAGCATATGGCTACATGGTTTAAATAGTTTATAAGGTTGAAAATAAAGACACAGGTCCATTCAGCGAGCTTTAGATGGATAGAACCTCAAACAAAAATTCTTAGGGAAAAGAATGTTCTAAGAAAGTTTGTTCATTGTTCTAATCATTAATGGGTCAAATCGATGTTTGTTTTTGACCACAGTGATTTGAAAGAGCAGGGTGGAAATATTTTCTTGAGTAATTTTTGCTTAGTAAATTCCATTCACTCCAAAATCAAATGTTAAAAGTAAATGGGATCTTTCGAATGACATTCAAATGTTCTGAGAATTTTTGTACGAATATTGCTAAGAATTTTCGTTCAAAATTCTATCCATCCAGCTTAGGTGTGTTGTTTGTTTTTAAGTTGAGTTACATAGTTACATAGTCTGGCTGAAAAAGACAAAAGTCCATCCAGTTCAACCAAAAAAAAAGCTATAATCCTATACCCATAGTTGATCCAGAGGAAAGCAGAGCATGATCCAGTTTACTCCTGCAGGGGAAAAAATTCCTTCCTGATCCCCCGAGAGGCAATCGGATATTCCCTGGATCAACTTTACCTGTAAATGTTAGTATCCAATTATGTGTATCGAGGAAAGAATCCAGGAGAGAGTGCCACATTTTTACTACTCTAACAGAAAAGAACTTTCTTCACACTACTGTTATACCTCCTTTTTTCTAACCTCATATCATGACTGTGTCCTCTTCAGGGACCTTAGAGTAACCAGTTTGTAAGTTACTGAAGTCACCTTTGTTGTATTTGTACATTGTAATCATATCCCCTCAAGATGAGGCTGAACCAGTGTTTGTTTAGGGGTAGATGTGCCGATTTATCTCTGGAATGTATGCCCTCTTTTATACAGGACAGTATTTAATTAGTTGTGGCTTTACATTGCATGCTATTGCTAAGTCTGTGATATGTACAGTCATGGCCGAAATTGTTGGCACCCTTGATATTTTTCCTGAAAATCAAGTATTTCACACAAAAAAGGTATTGCATTAACACATGTTTTGCTATACACATGTTTATTCCCTTTGTATGTATTGGAACAAATATAAAACAGAGGCAGAAAAGCAAATATGACATAATGTCACACAAAACCCCAAAAATGGGCTGGACAAAAGTATTGGCACCCTTAACTTAATATTTGGTTGCACACCCTTTGGAAAACATAACTGAAATCAGTCGCTTCCTATAACCATCAATAAGCTTCTGACACCTCTCACCCGGAATTTTGGACCACTCTTCCTTTGCAAACAGCTCCAGGTCTCTCTTATTGGAAGGACACCTTTTCCCAACAGCAATTTTAAGATCTCTCCACAGGTGTTCAATGGGATTTAGATCTGGGCTCATTGCTGGCCACTTCAGAACTCTCCAGCGCTTCTTTGCCATCCATTTCTGAGTGCTTTTTGACGTATGTTTGGGGTCATTGTCCTGCTGGAAGACCCAGGATCTTGGACGCAAACCCAGCTTTCTGACACTGGGCCCTACAGTGCGACCCAAAATCCTTTGGTAATCCTCAGATTTCATGATGCCTTGCACACAGTCAAGGCACCCAGTGCCAGAGGCAGCAAAACAACCCCAAAACATCATTGAACCTCCACCATATTTTACCGTAGGTACTGTGTTTTGTTCTTTGTAGGCCTCATTCCGTTTTCGGTAAACAGTAGAATGATGTGCTTTACCGAAAAGCTCTATCTTGGTCTCATCTGTCCACAAGACGTTTTCCCAGAAGGCTTTTGGCTTACTCAAGTACATTTTGGCAAACTGTAGTCTTGCTTTTTTATGTCTCTGTGTCAGCAGTGGGGTCCTCCTGGGTCTCCTGCCATAGCGTTTCATTTCATTTAAATGTCGACGGATAGTTCGCGCTGACACTGATGCTCCCTGAGCCTGCAGGACAGCTTGAATGTCTTTGGAACATGTTTGGGGCTGCTTATCCACCATCCGGACTATTCTGCGTTGCAATCTTTCATCAATTTTCCTCATCCGTCCACGACCAGGGAGATTAGCTACAGTGCCATGGGTTGCAAACTTCTTGATAATGTTGCGCACTGTGGACAAAGGCAAATCTAGTTCTCTGGAGATGGACTTGTAACCTTGAGATTGTTGATATTTTGCCACAATTTTGGTTCTCAGGTCCTCAGACAGTTCTCGTCTCCTCTTTCTGTTGTCCATGCTTAGTGTGGCACAGACAGACACACAATGCAAAGGTTAAGTGAACGTCTCTCCTTTTTATCTGCTTTCAGGTGTGATTTCTATATTGCCCACACCTGTTACTTGCCCCAGGTGAGTTTACAGGAGCATCACATGCTTGTAACATTCTTATTTATCCGCAGTTGTGAAAGGGTGCCAATACTTTTGTCCAGCCCATTTTTGGAGGTTTGTGTGACATTATGTCGAATTTGCTTTCTTTCCTCCCTTTTTTTGTTTTGTCCCAATACACACAAAGGGAATAAACATGTGTATAGCAAAACATGTGTTAATGCAATACGTTTCGTGAGAAATACATGATTTCCTGGAGAAATATCAAGGGTGCCAACAATTTCGGCCATGACTGTATATATTTAGCACCCAAATGCAAAACTACATTCCTCGATATTGAACCTCATCTGCAATCAGGGGTGGACTGACAACTCATGGGGCCCCCGGGCAATAGGGGATCATAGGACCCCTGTGCCCTTGCCCAAACTCCAAAAAGCCTATGAAAAAAGATCCGGGGCATCTCGTGGGGCCCCCTACTGACCCCGGGCCCTCGGGCAGTGCCCGAGTTTCCAAATGGTCAGTCCGCCCCTGTCTGCAATGTATCTGCCCAACCCCCTATTTTGTCAACGCATTCCAGTGATGATACTGTATCCTATGCCATAGTTATTTCCTGGCATAATCATTAGACCATTCAGAGAATGAGTTACATTTACAGATTCAAGTCCCAGTAATTTAACCAGTTTCCTACCCCCGTACATACAATTTTATCAACTCTAGCAGATCTTGTTTTATAGGTTAAATATTTTGGTACATTATCAAATGCTTATGAACAATGTAAACTATGTCCACTGGACTTCCACCATCTAGTTTCCTTTTTACTTCCTCATAGAAATAGAACTGGTTGATGTGACGAGAATGGTCTTTCACAAAACCATTCTGGGTGTCGCTTATCACAGACACATTTCTGTAGAGTCCCTTCCCATTCTTTCAAATACCTCACATACTCTTGATGGTTAATATGTAGGCTGAACTTGCTCTGCGGGAAGGTTCAACTTTGTTCTGTTATGCAAATCTGAACATCTTGGCTTTTCACCTCCCATTCTCTTAGTGGTCATTGAGAGCACCTATCATTATGACAGCCAATTAAGAAGCAAAAGGGGAAGAAGACAAATGCCACAAATGAAGAAGATTGGTGTAATGGAGATACCAAATTTCAGTTTTTTGGTTTTTTTTACTATTTTCTGTGCAACAAACTTTCTAAACAAGCATTAGTAACATTAGGCCACTAGCCACTATTGCTGCATACAGCCATCCATTGAGATGAATTTTAAAATATGGTTATGCACCAGGGGTTGCACTAGCATATGCTCTGGACATTTGCAGGTAGTGTGGGGCTCATATTTGACTGCACCTCGCCCATTCATAAAATGCAGACTATGGTAAGCAGCCTGTGTTGTCACAGGCGGTTTTTGCTTGCGGTAGCAGAGGAGGTGGTCATGTGACCTTGACAGTTGTGCTTTGCTGGCTTCAAACGTCTAAAGCCAGGGAATTATAAAGCACTGTTGTACAGCACATTGCTATATATGGTTTTATTTGTTTTACAGCAGCCCTGAGATGAGATTTTTTTTTTTTTTTTTCAGGTAAACCACAGTTTGTAACCGAAACCTATAGCTAAACTCCTATAAACAAATTACTAGAGGCATGTGTATTCTTACCTGAATTTTGGTGTGTTTTTGTGTATTTCTTCCAGATCTGTGCAGTAACCCACTAAGAAACTTTGCATCTATGCAGGAGCCTTGTGTAAAGACTTTTCTCTGCTGCTCTCTCTCCTTGTGCAGGATGACAGGTCTTGTATCTGTCCCCTCTTGTAGTTTTCTGCAAGCAGCTTGTAGTAGATGGACCTGCTGGACCCCTCCAACAGATCTGCTGTCTGCACAGGCTATGTATAGTACATTGATGATGTCACTGCTATTTATACAAGGAAATCTCAGGGTTTGCAAAGGCATTTGGTGCACATAATGTGGTTTTATAACTTTTGTAGCCCCCCTCTTCCCCTCTACCGCCCTCCTCCCACTTCCTCCTATTCCCCGTATATCTCTTATCCTATTGATAAGCAGGGAGATATAAGTAGATTTGTATGTTTATATATAATGTGTATGTGTTGTTTTGAGAAATGTTTACTTGCAGGCTTTTTAAAATGCAAAATGAAAGATTTTTTCCAATTTTTTTATATTTTCTCTTCTTAGACCAAACATTGTATATGTGGCTAGCAACCACTTTGTCTGGAGATTGGTCCCTGTTTCAATTGCTACGCAGATACAGCAGCTACTCCAGGATAAGCAGTTTGAGCTTGCGCTGCAGCTAGCGGTAAGTAGCTAAGAGAGTGGTATCATGGGTTTATTAACTCCTTAATGGTGAAGGTCCGGACAAATCTTAAAGTCTAAAACCAGTTTTGCACTTTTGGCATTTGTTAGTAAAACTGTACACAGCTTTGCAATGTTATGGTGTAGTGGTGGTCCCTGGCAACTAAATGCATTCCAAGCATTGGTCAGCGGTACTGAAATTTAACAGCAACTTCCTGCATTGGTAGTCATGACAGTGAAAGTTAATCCTCTCACTTTTTGAGTTCAGGTCCACTTTAAAATAGACCCGTGGTCACACTTTATAATTGCACATGCGATTATAGGTTACCCAAACCAGTAAGAATGCACTCTGTTCTCCTGTGTACCTCCTAGGATCATTTTGTAACTGCTTGGATGTTGGCACCTCTTAAAGCACTGCCAATGACTTGCAACACCTAGCTCGGAGGCCAAAGACTTTGTGGCGACAGCACATTGCTGTACCTGCTGGTGCTTGCACCACCTAGGTATAGGACATGCAGGCCCTGTTTAGTAACTCCCACAACTTTACAACTGTCTAGCAGCACACAGGATTCAGTCGTTGGCATGTTTCCACGTAAATGGCATAGCTATGACGAGGGCCATTCAGGCAGAAGCGCATCAGCCGCTGTATTTTGTGTGTAGGAGGTGTTTTGCAATAAACCAGTACTGGAAGAGATGCTTTGTTGGCAGTGATTTCTTATATCAGAAGGAGGGGGTGGTACTGTGCACCATCTTGGGACCTTGGGTGCAGTTGACACTTGTTTTTCAAACTATCTAGCAAAATGCTCAAGAATTTCACTTTTTAGCTGCATTTACCTTTTGAAGAGCAACTAAAAATTGGTTAATTACATGTATTTTAAGATATTTAACATGCCAACTTGCATTGAAAATGGCTGTTTCATGTGTTTATACTGTTCCACTGAAACTCTAGTAGCCACCTTTTAGCTAACTGCTTTTTGAGCCATGCAAATGCTCAATGAAAGCGTGCAAAATATTTGGAGATTTACAGATGAGCACTAATGTGTTTCATTTCAGAGGATGAAAGATGATGCAAACGGTGAGAAGCGGCAGCAGATCCATCACATTCAGAACCTCTATGCCTTCAACCTATTTTGCCAGAAGCGCTTTGATGATTCTATGCAAGTATTTGCCAAACTTGGCACTGGTAAGAGGGCACACTACTTTTTATTATATGAAATTTTTCTACCATGTAGCCCTAAATGTCTCCTAATGTAAATGCTGTCTCTTATGAACTTGCTTCTGCATATACCCACATCCACACTATGCTATTGAAATGCTTGTAACAATCAGAAACAAGCACGCTTCCATGTGCAGCCTTTTTTTTAAGAGTTGCAAAAAAGGGAGTGGTTATAGAAATGAAAGTAGAACTTTATCCATAACAATTTGATAAAACAATTTTATTTAGCAAGGAACACGCATTCCACATTAATAATTATGCTACCAAAATTAGTGTGCTCTGTAAATTGCTTCCTGCATTGTTCTTGTTCCTGCTTGCTGGAGGCAGCCATTTTGCTGAAGCCCAGAGCCCTTGAGCAGCAGAAAATCTTTAGGCTGTCAGTAGCTCAGCCTCTACAAATTCTGCACAGTGCTGAAAAATAGAGAACTGGTCATTGACTGGCTTTTAAACAGTATAGGCAGTTATTGTTAATGTTTTACATAACTATATCTGCAAAAGGGACCAGCCTGAAGTGATCTAGCAGGACTTAATTTTTTGTTGCAACACCGTATATCCGAGGAAGCAAGAGCTGTGGGACGCCTGCCAGATCTCTGCTTGTGCACATGAGACACAGTGCCATCAGTTTCGAACTTATCACAAACTCGTGCCATTGTTGGTCGCATTGGTGATTCTGTCCCAAACTCACATTGCCATTGTCATTGAACTTTACACACATTCAAATTTACAGTGCCACTTCAAAATGGTCTTGTGTTGCTTGAAAGTCAAGCATACCATTTTCTTTGACTCTCTTGACGGTCACATGATGACATGAACAATGGTGCGACTACTGACGTCTTTAGCTGCCATAATTCAATTTGGATTTTTAAAAAAGGGCATAGATAACAACTGTTGAAGTGTATATACTTTTTTGGGCCCCTCTGTATATGGCTCTTTTTAGAGTGTTTCCCAACTTCATTCTTCAAATACCCCAACAGGCCATGTGTTGGGAATTCGCCATTGGTAAAATAGCTGTACTATGCCACTGACCATGATTTAAAACACCTTTTCTCGGTGAAGGACTTTATGAAAAACATCTGTTGGGTCTTCTTGGACTGAGGTTGGAAACCACTGCTCTACTGCAGAACAAATAAAAGTTCAGCTTGTATATTTTTCAGTTGGTCAATGATTTTTCACATTATATGTTAGAGGCCAGCGATGCTCAAAAAAAGCAAAACAAAAAATTTTATATATATATATATATATATATATATATATATATATATATATATTATAGATTTTTTTTTTTTTTTCCCATACCCCATTTCTCTTCAGACTCTCAAGTAGGTTCACTTTCTACAAAGATAAGTTTTGGGGTAGTTGTGATCCATCTGTGTATTAGAGCTCTACATGTGTCCACAATGGCAGTTGTATTGATTTTGAACATTCCTCTCCCACTGTGTATTCACCTGGACAATGATTTTTGGACTATAAAATCTGGTATATAATAACCTTTCTGCTTGTGTAACATCACTGAACATTTGGGAAGTTTTGGGTGCCCTTGAATGTCTGGATTTAAAAGTGTTTGCCAAATTTGTGTGTGTGTAGCAGTGTCAGTCAGTGTGTTTTCTTCCAGTCGGTATATGACATACCAATCTTAATATGCATCAAGGCTTTCATTAGTTGTCGATAATGTCTAAAAAAAGTAATAGGTGTTGGCTTTAGGAATTTATGTTCAAACGTGAAAAATTAAGAGAAAAATGGATTTGCATAATGTGTTTGATCCTTTTTTGTCAGATCCTACGCATGTTATTGGGATGTATCCAGATCTTCTACCTTCTGATTACAAAAAACAACTCCAGTACCCCAATCCTGTACCCTTACTGTCAGGGGCAGAACTAGAGAAAGCCAATTTGGCGCTCATAGATTACTTGACCCAGGTGAGATGAACAATAGAGCAAACAATCTTTCAGGACTCTAGAAATGACAACATTTTAACATGTACTCCATCAGTTTAGCATGATTATTGGTATGGAATCCCTCAACCTTGTCACACTGCATACAGAAAACCATGAGCAGTTTTCTGTATGCAGTTTGACATAGTAGAGATCGCGACACTAGAAGGGTTCCCTATTAATTGTAATGTTACAGTGAGTACTTCATGCCCAGCAATTTATGATTTTAGAATGCCTTTTGTATTATGTGATAAATACATACTTTGACCCTTTTGAGATTTGAATATTAAGGCTGTATAAGATGTGTAGTTGTTTTCTATATTGTGGTCATTTTTAAATATTTTTGTTAGATAAATCTGAAATATCACATATTATACAGTCTATCCAGTCAGTAGCTGTATTCTCCTTTCTTTACCTATTCAGATCTGCTGAAATAATCAGATGTACAGATCTCAAACAAGTAATCACAGCAGTGACTTGTACCTCAGTTTTTAATCAGACAAATTTTAATTAAAATACTAATTTGCTGTGTCTTTAGCTAATCCACAGTGTTGAGAATCCCTTGTAATGTTTACGATGTTTTTGTTTCTTTTTTAAAACAATGAAAATTAACACTGAAGGTTGTTTTTTGTGTGTGTGTAAATATACATTTCAGTTTGTTTTGAAATTGAAGCAGAACATTTTGACTGTCAGGCATCTGTAAAACTGTTTCAATACACTGAGAACGTTGTGTCATTGTTAGTTGGTCTCAAGCATTGCATTCCTAAACTGACAGAAAAGAAGTCACCTGGTAAAGAAGCTGAATGATACTGATCACCACTCTACCACCTCTCCACTTATGGAAGGGACTCCAACCATCAAATCAAAGAAGAAACTTCTCCAGATTATAGACACCACTTTGCTCAAATGTTACTTGCATGTAAGTCCCGCAAATAAGCACAGTACCTGCAAAACGCTTGTGGATTTACAGCTTCCCTTTCTAGTGTGCTGCATTAAAGTGTTACTAAACCCAGGACCCAGTATTCACTGATCTTCCACAGTACACAGAACATGGAAATGCAATTAATTTAGTAAATATAAAGTGCAAAATACCTTTTCTCATTGGCAGTAATAGCAATCTTGGGACTTCTATCCGTGTCTGGATGAGCACTGATTATTCTTGTAGGAAGAATTTTCATTCTCCTCTGTCTGTCCTGTGAGGCTGCATAACCCCTGACCCTCTATCTGGACACTGCTGATTGGATTTGTGCAGGTCACATGCACTCTCCCAAAAAAAAACTCTAGCAATACACACAAAGCAGAACATGTGCAGAGTGACTCCTAGAGCTCTGTACTATCAGCATATGGATTGGTGACAACTAAAGGAGGGGAGGATCAGAGAAAAAATCAAAAAGCCTTTTAACACCCTTAGGTTCCACAGTGACTATAACAATCATGCTTTACTGCATATACAGACTGATTTTACGGTTGTGGATTTAGTAGCACTTTAATACATATTGGCAATGCTTCCCATTACAAAACATGGTAGTGCCTCACTGTGTGTTGCAATGCATTAGCCTTGGGATGGCAGTGAAAATGAATAGCACTGCTATGAAGCATCCCCATATTGCATAAATGTGAATAGGCCCTTCGGGTCCCAGTTAAAATGCAGCTGTATTGCCTTACCATGGCCATACCACTGCGTTAAAAAAAAAAAAAAAAAAGTGCTTCGCGTTCTGCTGGGACAAGAACTTGGTCTTATGACCTGTCAGTCATGTAGCAGACCTCTAAAATGTCCTTTATCTTATATGAATGCGCAATTGTTCTGCCAGTAAAAACTGCAATAAAATGTTTGATGTAGACAGTAGAAGAATTGCGTAGGGTTGTCTTTAATATGTGTCACCCTGTAATCTGGTGATGCATCGATGCAAGGTCTATCATTACTTAACCTGATTAAAATAATCGTCTAACCTATAGTCCTAAAATAATTATGACTCAACAAAAACAACATCCTTTCTACTTAAACTACATTTGAAGGACCTTTTAAAATGTTTAATTTCATTATGAATGAATTCCATTCTCATTATTTATATATCTTCTAAGGTAAACAGAAAAAAACTGATTTTCTGAATGTATACTTGTTTGGTATGGCCTTTATATCTTTATAATGGTCAGAACCATGATCATGACCTATTAAAAAAAAAAAAAAAAAAAAATTATAAAATGTAATAAAAATGTTGCATGTAAACATAAGGCAGCCTTCTAGCAACGCACACGAGCAGTTTAGAACAGTGTATGAGCAGTGATTGTGATATATAATTTAGGATGTTGTCTGTGTACCCCCATTTGGAGCCGTCTAGTTAATTTGCCATCATTGAGCATTGTTTATAGAATATGCTCATTCCTCTTTTACTAGACAAATGTGGCTTTGGTGGCTCCTCTTCTCCGGTTGGAACATAATCATTGCCATGTGGAAGAGAGTGAACATGTCCTGAAAAAGGCACACAAGTACAGTGAGCTGATCATCCTTTATGAGAAGAAAGGGCTACATGAAAAAGGTGAGTTCTGTAGTTTGATAACTATGATTAGTAATTTTGTTATAGCTGTCAGCTATGAGTTTGAGGCTGCAATTAGTCTGTTCTTGCTTCTTGTGCAGCTCTTGCAGTTCTTGTTGACCAGTCAAAGAAAGCAAATTCTCCATTGAAGGGCCATGAAAGGACAGTCCAGTACCTGCAGCGGTTGGGTGAGTTAACATTTGAAACTGTCAGCTGAAGTGGTGTTCTTCACCTTGGTAGAGCAGTGAAGCAGGGAAATGGTTAAAAGGAAAAATTATCTATAGAAACATAGGGGCTGTCATTACTGGCTTGTTTTGTAGGTGCAGGTTCCAGGGCATATTTTAAAAATGGAGTTAAAGTGGAACTAAACCCATTCATTTAACAGTTTCAAAACACAGTTATATTTAGGGCGTTTCGGGAATGTTAAATGTCACATTTGCTTTTGCTGTCAACCAAACTATCAAACGTGTCATAACTGCTCGCATATGCAGTCTAAGGCCTTGTTCACACCATACGTGCATTAAAACTGATGGAAACTAATGTACAGATTTCACTTGCAGAGACTTAGTTTACATCAGTTTTCATGTGCCCTTCAGTGAGTGTTTTATAAAGGTTGCCGAAACCTAGTGATGGCTGTTGGTTATGGAAAAAGTCATGCCTTTTGCTCCTGGTCCTTCATCGCTTTTCTTGCAAGTAACTCCTACACTGACCTTGCCTTAATCCTCTACCCTTCCTTTTGTTAACCAATAATGATGAGGTAATCCAAAAGAGCTTGTTGTGTGGTTAAAAACAGTGCAATGCATATGTATTAAGTAATCTTGCAAAAAAAAATAATTTTTTTTTCATATGTACATGTATGATCAGCAGTTTTGTTGTAAACATATGTGTTTTTTTTCCCACTTTTGTTGTCTTAAGAGTCGGAGGTCATTTAAATTCTTATAGTTCTACTGTCAACTGTTTGAGTGGTGTCATAGTCTCATTCCTGGGTGTGCATAAAATCATTAAAAAAAACCCCAGTTTTTGTATTAATTTTGACTGCAAAATTTTGTTTTGTCGTTTTGTTTTTTTTCTCTCAACACGAAGCCTTTGGTTATGTGATCTTTGATGAAGGTGGGAGGAACAGGTTTGGTCAAGTGATCCTCTTCTGGAGGAATGATGCTGTAACCAAATTCATAGGCTTTTACTTATGTGACCAGCACTGGGGGAGGCTTGGAGTGGGATATTCTCCAAATATTTCAGCCCATTCACTAATCTTTATTAATCTCATTTATCAATTTACATATTCCGATGTTTATATTTGAGAATGTTTGCTTTAAATACTTCATAAAAAAATTAGCATAATATTTTTATTAATGTTTTTGAATTAGGAAATTATTTTTATTTTGGCAGGATCAGAAAAACTTTCTTTGATATTTGAATACTGTGTATGGGTGCTGAGGGATTATCCTGAAGATGGCTTGAAGGTAAGATATTGGTTTGTGGCAAAAAATAGATTAGGGAATCAAAAATTCCTGGCTGAAAAACAAGTCTAGTCTCTGCTGTTAAACTAAAGACTACTCTTATTGAAAGACTGTACTGTAGTTTTACATGCCGATAAGAAAACTACACTGCTAAATTCAATCATGGTAATTCTAAAAAAAAAAAAAATTCAACTGTTTAATATTCGTGTTACAGATCTTCACAGAAGACCTCCCAGAAGTTGAATGTCTTCCCCGTAATCATGTGCTGGAATTTCTTTTGGAAAACTTCAGACATCTAGCAGTTCCATACTTGGTAAAAATCAAAATTGTTAACTTGAATTATAATTAAAGCCTTTTAATTTCCTTTTGAGCATGGATTGTTTGTTTCCCACCTGTGTTCTATTAGGGAGATTTTCTTTTTACTTACTCTTCTGCAGAGCCAACAGGAAGTGGAAGGATATCTTACAAATGTGAAGGAAATTCCCCCGTAGACAGATGTAATAGGAACTCTTTGCCTGTTCTGATGGCAGCTCTAAATTTTGGTTTCTTTCAAAGTGATGGTGGTCATCAGAAAAAAAATACTGAGAGTGAATATTCCTGATAGGGACACAGACAGCAATAAAAAGCTGCTTGGGGGGGTGGTACTGATGCTCTGACTTTATAATGTAATGACTCTATATAAAAATAAAGTACATTTTTTTTACTTTAGATACACTTAAATCTTAATGGCCCAACCACACTTCTCCATGGGGTGCCATTTTCTTTAACCGCCTCCCGCCCACCATATAAGGTAATGACGGGCGCAAGGCGGTTCTCTCGTTCTGGGAGGACGTCATATGATGTCCTCCCATTCTAACCGCGCATGCACAGCTCCGGGAACACACAGCGCGGCGATCGGGAACACAGCGGATCACCGATCAACAGAAAGAGCCGAAGATGCCGGCTCGGTCATGTGATCAGCTGTGTCCAATCACAGCCGATCGCATGTAAATAGGGAAATGCTGGTTATCGGCATTTATCTCCTCACGAGCTGACAGCTCGAGAGGAGAGGAGAGCTGGTAATCGGCATCGCCCAGAGGGGACTTCAGTGTGCCCTGATGATCAGTGTAGCCCCAGCAGTGCCAGCTGTCAGTGTTCATCAATGCCACCTGCCAGTGCCACATCAATGCCACATATCAGTGCCCATCTGAGCTGCCTTTCAGTGCCAGTCAGTGCCACTTATCAGTGCCATATATGAGCGCTGCCTTTCAGTGCCCATCAGTGATGCATACCAGTGCCGCCTATCAGTGCCATATATGAGTGCTGCCTTTCAGTGCCCATCACTGATGTCTATCAATGCCTATCAGTGCCTCCTCATGAGTGCCCAGCAGTGCCACCTATCAGTGCCCATCATTGCAGCCTCATTAGAGCACATCAGTGAAGGAGAAAAATCACTTATTTACAAAATTTTAGAACAAAAACTAAAAAAAAAACTTTTTTTTTTCAAAATTTTTAGTTATTTTTGGTTTGTTTAGCAAAAAAAATAAAAAATCCAGACGTGATTAAATACCACCAAAAGAAAGCTCTATCTATCTTAAAAAAATGATAAAAATTTAATATGGGTACAGTGTTGCATGACCGCGCAATTGTCATTCAAAGTGTGACAGCGCTGAAAGATGAAAATTGGCCTGGGTAGAAAGGAGGTATAAGTGTCCTGTAGGCTAGTGGTTAATGGCACCCCTATTCACTAACCCAACGCACCTATGATGCACATGATGTGTAGTAATGCACCCCAAAGCAAGGTAAAGCACTGCTGTCCAAAAAACTGCTCCATGTCTGATTTTTGGTCCATTTTGATGTGTTGATGGCCCATTCAAATACTGCAATGCATGTTAACAGGAGGAATTACACACGTTAATGAAAGCACCAAGATGGAATGGTGTGAAACATTCTTGAATGAAGATGATCACTTTAAGGCTCCATACTAGCGTTTTTTTTTGTTTGTTTTCTTTTTAAGCTCCTATAGCTGTTATTAGCATTTTCTTTCTGCTCCTAGAAGTTAAATCGTGTTATTCAATGTGTCCATGCACACTACTTTAGGCTTTTTGAGCTTCAGCATCTAGGAGCAGGAAAAAAAAAAATTTGTGAGCTTTTTATCCAGCAGAAAAATATGCTAAATGCTGCTAAAAACGCTAATAAAATGCTAAGCATCCCAGGCGCTGTCACCAGCATTTTTTTATCCGGTGTTTTTTGAGCTGTTAAACGCTATTGTGCATGGAGCCTTACTCTCTTCAGATGTAATACTTTCTGTTAATATACTTAAGTTGCATGCAGTATTGTGAATTGCCAAAAAGCATATTATCTCTACCAGTGTAACAAACTAGACTTGCAATTTTGTTTTTTGTTTTTTTTTTTTTTTACCTTGCTGTCATTTTATTTATTGTACATATCATGTTCAAGTATGCAACACTTAGCTGTATGTCCATTCCCAGCCTTGTTACATCTTTGATGGAATTTTTCTGCAGCACTTTTAAAAATGTAATCTGGAACTGCGCTGATCCATCTCCCATCTGTACGGTGTGTTCCTTCCTTTTGTAGTAAGCTTCCAAATAGCTTATAATGGTAAGTCTAGATACAAAATGCTTGTCAGAATGGCTGTGTGACTGTATTTTATACACTTTATAGGAACATATCATCCTGATATGGGAAGATAAAGGCCCTGAATTTCACAACTGTTTGATCAAGCTATATTGTGAGAAAGTGCAGACGTTGATGCAAGCAATAGGTACGTGACCAGGGTGGGAATAAAATCAGCATTTCCATGTAAAAAAAAAAAAAATCAAGATATTATCTCATTATTAATAGTGGCATAATGAGCATCTGACCCTTTTGTGTAAGAAGAAAAATACTGTATTTTTCGCTCCATAAGACGCACTTTTTTTCCTCCCCAAAAAAGGGGGGGGAAATGGTCAGTGCGTCTTGTGGAGCGAATATAAAGCAACCGGTCCGGTATTTCCGCCGCCACCATGTCAGAATACCGGGCCGGCCGCTCAGCTCTTCTCTGATGCAGGACCTTACCTGTTCCTCGGTCCGGCGCTGCGCAGTCTTTAAGTGCCGGCATCTGTGACAGCCAGGTGCCCACTGCGCATGTGCGAGAAGCGCTGCGCTTTGTGAATGGTCTGGCGTCTTCTGGGACACATGACCGGTCGCGCATGCTTCTCGCGCATGCGCAGTGGGCACTCTGCTGTCACAGCCTGGTGCCTACAGTAAAGGGAGGACAACTCCGCAGAAGTGGGAGCGGGTACCTGTCAAATTCAGGTACCCGCTCCCCCTCCCTCCCTCAAGGTCCACAGTCTCTGGTCATCTCCTGTACTGCCTGCAGTCTCTGGTCATCTCCTGTACTGTCTGCAGTCTCTGGTCATCCCCTGTACTGTGTCCGCAGTCTCTGGTCATCCCCTGTACTGTGTCCGCAGTCTCTGGTCATCCCCTGTACTGTGTCCGCAGTCTCTGGTCATCCCCTGTACTGTGTCCGCAGTCTCTGGTCATCCCCTGTACTGTGTCCGCAGTCTCTGGTCATCCCCTGTACTGTGTCCGCAGTCTCTGGTCATCCCCTGTACTGTGTCCGCAGTCTCTGGTCATCCCCTGTACTGTGTCCGCAGTCTCTGGTCATCCCCTGTACTGTGTCCGCAGTCTCTGGTCATCCCCTGTACTGTGTCCGCAGTCTCTGGTCATCCCCTGTACTGTGTCCGCAGTCTCTGGTCATCCCCTGTACTGTGTCCGCAGTCTCTGGATATCCCCTGTACTGTGTCTGCAGTCCATTGGTTCAGAATATTTTTTTTCTTGTTTTTTCTCCTCTAAAACCTAGGCACGTCTTATGGTCAGGTGCGTCTTATGGAGCGAAAAATACGGTACTTCATTTTGTTGTGCTTTGTCATCTAAATAGCAGATGACATGCAGTACATTTCCGGGATCTGTTCTTTTTGAAAACACAGCATTGTAGCATGTTATTACGGAGTTCTACCTTCCTTTTGGGTTTGTGCACATGGATGATTTCTCCTCCTGATCTTTGTGGGGTTTTTTTTGTTTTGTTCTTTTGTTTTTTTTTTATCGAGTGTTTCGGAGTGAAAATGCTTGATTTTCAAGCAAACATTAATTATGTTGCAACTGCCATCATCATCTTATGCTTAGAGTGATATTAAATCTAATCAAAGAAATGTAATATAATGCAGCTTACAAATCCTTAGATGTGGTGGCTATATTAAGTTTTCGCCTTTTTTTCCCCCCCTTTATTTCACCTGGTGATCCAGCCTGCAGCACACTTCCTGTCTTTGGGTGTTTGCATTCTGGATGAAGTTTTGTCAGTCTGAGGAGAGGATGATATTAGGCTGGCTATAGGTAGATGGGTTGTTGTTGTTTTTTTTTTTTTTCTTTATAAGCCCGTGAACTGATTTAAAAAAAAAAACAAACAAACTGATTCTTCCATCCACACAAGTGAGGTGGATAGAGGAATCCTCCCTGTTGTACTATTGTATTCTGATAGTGGGGATTCCTCCGCTGTCAGAATACATTGGTCATCACTATAGCCGATTGGCCGCATGGACTGATCAAATGAATATTCCAACATGCCAGCTTGAGAAAAGGCAATCATTTGATTGACTTCTCTCGAGCAGGAAGGGCCATAATCAAAATTTAGCCGATCCTTGCTGAACTGATTTTTCAATCCACCTATAGCCAGCTTTAGACGAACAGATTTAGATGGACTTGACTAACAAATTGAAACTGAACTCCAGCTAACAATTTGTAAGCAATTACAGCAAATAGTTTTTTTTCAACATTTAACTGCTACTTTGGACAGCTTGGTCAGTTAATTGAAGTTTAAAAAAAAAAAAAAAAACTTGCCCAAGCACCTGGTGAAAATGAAGGAAAAAAGCTTAAAAAAAAGAAAACAAAAGTAGATATCACATATCAGAATTGGTAAGCTGCAGCTTTGGGGCTTAATACCACTGTAAAGGTACAGAATTTTGGGCTTTTGTATTAATGCTACCCTCACTATCTAGTGAGATGCCAGCTTGAAAGTATACAGCCAATGAGGTCTGTCTCTGTTCCAGGTCAATGACGCGTTGCATGGTGAAACCATAAGGAGCCCACACCTTTTAAAAGTAGTTATTGTTGGCAGCTGTCATATTTCTGTCCTTAACTTTTGGTAGAATTGTAGAAATTTTACATTTGGCAAACTCCCCATTTGAATGTGCTGCATTGTATTACAGTATACATGCGGGTGCTGGTCTATACTTTGGAAATGCCCTATTACAAAGGATATTGCGTTTCTGAGTTGTATTGAAGAACATACACTGTATTTTCTGCATTTACTCAGTGGATCCTCATTGTGTTGTGGTTACAGGCCCTGATTTTAATGAAGGAGTCACACGTACAATTCCTGCAGGCTCAGAGGATGGGGACCTCGGAGAATACCGTGGAAAACTGCTAAATTTTCTGGAAATCTCAGACTGTTACCAGCCTGAAAGGCTTATCAGTGATTTCCCATTTGATGGTGAGTTGACCTTATGTCTATACAGCTCTACAGCTGTTGGGTACTGTGTGACCTTTGTTTTTATACTTTCTGTATTTACCAAAAATGTTCCAAGATCTTTGTGTGACATGAGTGCTAATCTCTGGGTTAATCAGAACACAGCTGTAAGTTTAGATTAACAAAAAAGAAGAAAGGCGGCATCCTCTAAGTTCAGCAAAAAAACTCTTTAATATGACTTAAATAGGTAATACAGGCCACTCACAAAGGCATGATGGAATAGTGCTTGTAATCTGAAATAATAGGCATCCGCTGTGTGAAGGGACGTGATCCTCTATGTGTACAGAAGGGTCTAGTGTTGGGCGGTGTTGCTGGTTGCTCCCAGCATTTCCTCCGAATTCCAGGACTCACTATGGGCGGAGAGTACGTCACTTCCGGTCACGTGCCAGCACCAAAGGAAGAAACAAAATGGAAATGGAAGGAGCGCAAGGTCTCTAACATCCACCAGCTCCGTGATGTCGTCATGGAGGAGTGGAAGAGGACTCCAGTGGCAACCTGTGAAGCTCTGTTGAACTCCATGCCCAAGAGTGTTAAGGCAGTGCTGGAAAATAATGGTGGCCACACACAAAATATTGACACTTTTGGGCCCAATTTGGACATTTTCTCTTAGGAGTGTACTCACATTTGTTGCCAGATTTTAAGGTCCTTATTACCCACTATCTCATTAGCAGCACCTTAACTTAAATGCATTGCAAATGAGAATATTGCCACCAAGAAGTTAAATATCTCCATTGCAAAGATACCTAATCACCAATATAGCCCTTGACTTTGTGTTCATAAATACAAGTATGGACTAGCAAAAAAAAACGTTGATCATGCAGAGCAACGTCCAAAGCTATCCAAGCCCTTGATCAGTATAGTCAGCATACGTCAGACCTTTTAGTGACAAAGGCGCATGTTATTGCATCTGCTTTTTGATCTGCACTGGGTAAAATTTAATTTTAGAGTAGAAATTTGTTAACTGTGAAGTGAAACTAAAGTCCCATCACAAAGGAAATTGCAACTAGCTAGATTTTTTTTTCTTCTTTTTTTTTTTTGCACAAGAGACATGCAACACTGTGCAATGTAAATCTCAGCTTATTATGAGAATGGCAGGAATAGAGCTGCGTCCTGGGACAATCTAACTCCCAGCATCAGGCTTCTTGTGAAAGATTTACTTGTTACATCATTGGTGTCCAGTGGCCAAAAAGGAATGCCACATGATCTGGAGGAAGCAGCAGGAGAGATGGCGCCATTGTCACATGGAGCAGAGATTGGATCGGAATCCTGTCCTGTCACCGCTGGAGGTGTGGAACCCTGACAGGTAAGTGTGGCAGCCATGTATGGTCAGCACAGTGGCTAAATGGTTAGCACTTCCGCCTGGCAGTACTAGGGTCATTGGTTCAAATCCCAGCCACGGCACCTCTTGCCTGGAGTTTGCATGTTCTCCCTGTGCCTGCGTGGGTTTCCTCCCACACTCCAAAGACATGCTGGTAGGTTAATTGGATACTGTCTAAATTGGCCCTTGTATATGAATGTGAGTTAGGGACCTTAGATTGTACACCCCTGGAGGGTTAGGACTGATGTGAAGATACAATATATATGTAAAAGTGCTGTGTAAATTGACGGCGCTATATAAGTACCTGAAATAAATAAATGTATAATGATCACATGAAGCTAAAGCCTTTATTCAGAAAAATTTGGTGTCAGTGTGCAGAGGCTACTGTAGCCTGTAGAGGGCAGTGTGGCTCTATTTAGAGATAGAGTAGCAGACACCCTTATTCTTCCAAAGCTGTGATGTCTTTTGGGGCACTTGGCAGTGAGATCGTTGGTGAGGGACCCCAGAAGAGGAGGTTTGGGGCCACTCCCTGCAAAACCATTGCACAGAGCAGGCAAGGATACCATGTTTATTATTTTAAGAAAAAAATTAACCTTTGCAACCGCTTTAATGTTCACTGAATTCTATGTGCGGTCATTTGGGTGATGTCAAGGCCTGCACTTGATGCCCCCCATATCAAGAAAGTTGACCATCTATGCAGTGCTAAAAACTACAGGCAGATACTTATCAATACCGTCATAGAAGCATCCGATATGTCCCATGTTCAGTTAATTCTGCAGCAGAACAGTGACCCCAAAGATATACAGCAACACTAATTAAAAAAGTCTTGAAAAAATAGTTTGAACCACACAAAGCCCTGATCTCAACATCATTGAGCCTGTTTGGAATTACATGAAGATAGAGAAGCAACTTGGCCTAAATTTACAGAGGAGCTGTGGTTAGTTCTCCTAGATGTTTGGAACAACCTACCTGCCAAGGTCCTGAAATAACTGTGCAAATTGCTGCTGTTTTAAAGACCGAGGAGGGTAGACACATCAAATATTGACTCAGTTGTAGGTTTGCTTGTTTGTTTTTTTTTCTCTTTTTATGCACTTCTGGTAGATAGATGATTTAAAGGAATGCACATAAAAAGAAAAAATTGTGATATGTGGGTGTGTAAACTAAATCACAATAAATGTCAAGTACATTAATACTTTTTGTTGCATAATATCGCATTAAAAATTGAGCTGCCTGAATATTTAAAAAGAGAAAAAGGGTCCAACCATTATATAATTAATTGTAATCTATATTGCTGAAATATATTCATGTAATTGAAATGTGTAGATCAGCTGTTTTGAACAAGGGTGTCTTCAGGTTTCTTTAGAGGTGTTTTGGCAAAATGCCTTGGCCTAAACATTTCCCAAGAATTATGTACAAGCCAGTGAATGGATCAAGCCTGCCTTTCAGTGACAGTCAGTTGTGCACCATTACAATCTTCTAGCTGCTGGTTCCCTAACAACCAGTGATATCATTGGGGACATTGTGTGCCTGCACAGCATCCTTGTTTGCCCTTCCCCTGCCCCTCTCCTCAGCACTGGGGTCACGGGAGCTGAATGAGGAAGAAGAGAAACATTGCAGTACCAGTGCACAAAGGTGTATTTGCTTTAAAGGAATAAGTCACCTGTAATGTTGGGTGTGCTATGTATGTGGATATTGCTGCATTATGTAAAAAACTATTAGTTTAGTTTTTTTTAATTTTATAATGGGGGTGCATTGTTCAGAATTTTAAAGGGTGCCTTCAATGAAAAGTTGAAAAACACTGGTGTAGATGGTCAGATTTAGTTATAGATTTAGAATTGTTGGAATCTAGGCTTTAGTGACTTTCAGGCACAAATAATGTAAGTGTATTAACTATTGATAATAATAGTACGGTTTGCTTTTTATATCATTACATGTTCTTGTTTTAATTTTTTGTTGTGTTTTTGTGTAATTTGTGCAGGATTGTTAGAAGAACGTGCGCTGCTTCTGGGCCGAATGGGCAAACATGAACAGGCTTTGTTCATATATGTGCACATTTTGAGGGACACCAGTATGGCTGAGCAGTGAGTATATAATGGGTTGTGGATTTTCTTTTATCTGTATTTGTATAGTGATATGTTCAGTATAAAGCTAGCCTTAAACTGTTCGTTTTCATTCAGCCTGTTGACAGATTGGAAAAAACTCTCATGGATTGTCTATTGTCTAATGTATTTTGACAGCCAGCCTCACTGGGGTATCTGATCGGATGCAGATTTTTGGCCAACACTTTTTCAGTCAAGGAATGTTGGGTGGGAAGCATCTGACAAGGCCACCCACTGAGCGAGTTTTGTCCGGTTCCTATGCATGGCTAGTTTAGGATTATGGGCTAACCTAATTCTTTATAGAATCTCCTGATGTTTGGCTATGTGTATATAAGTTTCCAAAACATTTTGAGCAGCAATCTCTACACTATAATTGCTACACAAAATTGGTTTAGACGGCCATGTATACAATTTGCTCAGTAGGATGTTTCTTGTATACTTTTATCTAGTTTTAGCAAAAGAATTCACTGTTTCTTATCAGTAACTTCTTTCACAGGTATTGCCATAAACACTATGACCGTGCCAAGGAAGGCAGTAAGGACGTAAGTATATATTTCTTTTTAAAGTGGGTGTTCACCCTACGGTTATCCTATGAACAATGAACATCCATATAACAAATGTGCCTTTTTATTGGAAAAAGAAACAGTAATGCAATAAGATGAGAACATGGTATATAGTTCATGAGCATAAACATTTTCATAACCATATTAGTTAGATTTTGCTTTTAGGTAGCTGTATTATGTGAAAAGTAGTTTCCCAATATTTATGGAGTTTTGTAGATCGCCACAGTGAATGCATAAGTGCACCCTCTTCACAGCAGCATCTGTTATAACCAGGTCAGTTCACGCTCCCGGCCAAATAACTTCTGCTGAATGTAGTACACCCTGTATCGTGTGAACAGCGAGTTTGTGTGTGGAGGACAGGGAGACCATGGGAACAGTTTTCCAAGGCCCTACTCCATTGTTCCAGGTCAATGGGACCGGCATCTCAGGACAAGGCAACTGAACGACACCTTGAGTTTGCATGGTATTAATGGAAAACGGCCAGCAGTTTTCCAGTGCTAATTGCAGGACAACTGGAGCGTGGACCAAAGTCAAACATGGTGCTATGCTTTTATCAAGGCGTTATGTAGCTATTTATTCATAAATAATTTTAGTGCTAACCTCCCACTTTAATTTGTAATGTATAAGCAAAGCAGAAAGGTGTGGTTTAACTTCAGCCAACTGTTTGTGTCTACATTACATTGGGGGTACAATTGTCGCCAGAACAGAAAATCACAAACATTAACAAAAACATCATCAGGCATACGAGCCCTTCACTGCTCTGTGAAAAATATTTTTTTTTGTTTGTATCTGATTTGTTTTATGATACTTTAAAACATAGAAAACCGACAGCAGAGAAAGACTGTGTGGTCCATCGAGTCTGCCTGTTTTATTTTGTTTGGGTTTTTTTTATTAACTTTTTATTAACTTATTTGTCTGAGTCTACATCTATGTACACTCAGACAAAAAAGTGTAGCAATGTAGCTATGTCAGAGTCCCACAGTCATATTTTGAACAATGTCTGATGGTCTTCTATGGGCTTTGCAGTCTTGGACATTGTTTGCATTTGCTTAAATATTTAACATGGCCATCTAGATAGCAACATATAGACCCTAGTATTAAGGCAATGCTGGCTCACAGCCCATCAAGCAGAAAACCAACGTACACATTCCATTTTTCTGTATTCTCTATATCTTGTTACTAACTTTAAAAATATTTTGCTACACACTGCCATATTTAAAGCGGAACTAAACTCTGCTGCTGGTGCCCAGGGTTTTTGCCATCAACATATTTGTACATTATGGCAAACTTCTATCACTCTTTCCCCACAACTGGTCTTTGTCCAGTTGTCTCCCAGGTTCGGCATTTTGTAAACTTTAGAAAATAACCCTAATAATTTTTTTTTAACTTTAGGGGTGAAGGCTGTGAGGTAGATTTGATATGTCAAGAATAAAATAACTTACCAGTGAGTGTTTCTTATTGTGTGACTGGATTTTATTTCCTCTTTTTTTACAGGTGTATTTGTCCCTTATCAGGATGTACCTCTCTCCACCTGATGTTCACTGTCTTGGTCCTATCAAAATAAAGCTGGAAGAACCAAAAGCTAATATTGCTGCTGCACTGACTGTTTTGGAGCAGCATCATGCAAAACTAAACACAACCAAGTTAAGAGAAAGTTTGTTAGATGTATGGCCCTATGGCCCAGTCCTAGGGAAATCTTATTGATTAAGTCTCCTACCTAGCAATAATGCTTAAAAAAAAAACACTATAGTGGCATTTTTTTGAGTGTGGGGGTTGTTGGTAGTAGCGTGTAATGTATATTGAAGTCTACATCTCCACATCTTCTACTTCGTAGTCCAGTCTGAGTGACCATAGAGGCCAGAAGCATGCTCCTTGGTTTCCCAATTGATCTTTGATATCTTTATAGACCTCAGATGCAAGCTGGATGCCCCACATTTAATCTTCAGGATTTTAAAGTATTAAATTGGCGAATCAGGAGGCAAGTGTAGTTTACATACTTCACTAAACCTTCCAGTCACTGCGGAGTTGGGCTTAAAATTCCAAACTCTCTTGTGTATCCTATCCCTTCACGTTCTTGTAAGTTTTGCTAGGAAAGATTACATAAAATAAGTCCAATAATCTGATTTGGCTGTCAAGAGCTAAGGCCTTCACTTTCTCACATGTAGTTTTTTTTTTTTTTTTATATAGCTTAAACAAAGGAGTAGACCAGCTATGTCTTGTCATAGAACAGTGAGTGATTTTTAGATCGAGTAAGCTTTTTAAATTTCCAGATCATTTTACCATTAGTTGCTAACATTCCTGGTGAGTTTCTATTTTCCTATATGTAAACCTTCATATATGTCAATATTTTAACTACAGGCCATAGATTTGTTACCAGCCAACACACAAATCAGAGAGATCCAGATCTTCCTGGAAAAAGTACTGGAGGAGAATGCAGAGAGGAGGCGCTTCAACCAAGTCCTCAAAAATCTCCTACATGCGGAGTTCTTACGAGTAAGTAAAAACAGAACTGGTGACAACAACATTTTTTGGAATGTGCTAATATTCTATACTCTGTTCACCACATTTATCATCTATACATGCTGAAGGTTTGTTTTCTTACTTGCTGCTCCTCAGAAATTGAGATTTTCCAGTGATCTCTCTATAGGATAAAAGATTATTTATTGATCGTTATTTCAACTCCTTTAAAGCGGTAGTAAACTCAGTAAAAAAATAAATAAAAATGACCCACCTCCCTGCAGGTCTAAATCATAATGCACTTGTATGCACTGCATACAGTCAGTGGTGGAGAAGGATCTCAGTGTTCTGGTAGATCATAGACTTAAAACGAATAAAAAAAAAAAAAATCTTCCTACACGGTAATATAATGTGCTAGAATGCATTGCATACTAGCACATTATGGTATACTTATCTTAAAACAAGGCCCTCCAGCGTCGCACTGTCCCTGTCACCACTGACAGGTCTTCCATCTTCACCCCTCTTCCTTCTGGGTTTGTGGACTCCGGCCCCTTGAATAGCCGAGCTGCGAGAATATCACTCCCGCTCATGAGCGCGGTAGTCATGACCTCAGCACAGAGATCTGAAGGGATGGCATGTGCTGCTCACTGGAATATCTTCTAAATGGTGCAAGTTTAGGAGGTATTCATTTTTACCTACAGATCAGCTTTATCATAAGCTTACCTGTAGGTAAAATGGCAGAAAAGAGTTTACTACCACTTAAATAATGGCATGCAATGTCAAGCTGTGGTTTTTAAAGCAAAAACGTTCTTGTATTAAGAGGTATAGATTCCAGAGAGAGACATAATTTTACTGCTGTACAAATCATTAGTAAGACCTCATCTGAAATATGCAGTTCAGTTTTGGGCACCAATTCACAAAAAGGCTATCAGAACTGTAGAGAGTGCAGAGAGAGGCAACCAGTCTAATAAGCATGGAGTAGCCTATAAGGAAAGATTAGTTGAATGTATTCCGTCTTGAGAAGAGAAGATTCAGCAGGCTATGTGAGCACCATGGATGAATACATAAGTGTTCCAGTTTACAGCTTTCAATGCTGTTGATTCCTGGTCTCAGTGCTGCTTCCCTGAGCTTTTGATCTTTACAGAAAATCATTAAGAGTGCACAATGCAAATCCATATTTTTTTTTTGAGATCAGAACAAAAACAGGCAACCGTGAACCTGCAAAGATTTAATGATTTTGTGTTTTATGACACAATATGCAGCATATAGCATACATTTCTGACATGTTGGAAAACTCTAGCATGATTTAGTTATCTTTTCAAGGTAAAACCCAACACCAAGGGTGTTCAACCTTTTGAAGAGCAAGAGCCTCTTAAGTGATTTCGTAACCGGTCATGGGCCACAAAGAAATTAAATTAAATGGTTCAGAATTTCAAATTTCCTATAATGAACATTTTCCTCCTGCAGCCACTGAATGCTGGTGGGAGGGAGAGGAGGAGAAGCTGGCTTTCAGCAGTTGCAGGAGGAAAATTGAGAGGATTGGTTCCTGTTAATGCCGCCTCTTTTGTCCAAGTATAAACCAGAATGGGATAGGAAGGTCACCCTGGTACATGGGGTGGGGTTGCCGTTGCGACTCCTGATGCTACACCAGTGGTTTGGGGGTGTGTGATAAAAACATGTCTCAACCATGGGGTTTAACTGCCCCCAAACCGCTAATGCAAATAAGCCCTTACTGTCCTGAGCCACCTATAAGGCTGCTTGCACACCGTTGCACTTTACCTGCACAGAGGGTAAACTGCACTGCACCTGTGGGTTAGCTGCGCTTTGCCAAAGACTTCTATTATATATTGCAGGTGTGGTGCACTTTCAAAGCGCACCAGAATTCCCGCATGCAGGAGTTTTGATGCGCTTTCAGAACGTGCACCACACCTACAGGGTATATTAAAAGTCTATGGCTCACTGCAGTTAGCTCGCAGGAAAGCTGCAGGTGCAGTGTGCTGCACCCATGGATCAGTGTGAAAGCAGCCTAATAGTTGTAAATCATTTTATAGGTGCTAATGTGCCCATTGCAAAAGCAGAGTATGTGTTGTCTAATACACTGTCTTTCGTTTCCTCTTCCAGCTTCTGCTGGCATCGCTCTCTGTCTCGGCTGCTATAAAGGTCCCCCAGGCAAAGTGCACTTGGTATTACTGCACCTGGGACAGGAACTGGCGCTACAAAGAGAGCATCAGCGGTTCCTGCTTTCTCCGTGGTCGCCTTCTTCCTCTGCTGCGGGCGCTGGCCTGATGCACTCTGATGCTCTGGGATGGCGAGTCAGCAAGCCCAGATCATGATCAATGGGTTGCTGACCCCGGGCATACTCTTCCCTGGTTTGAGGTTGAGGGACATATTGGCGGGCTCAGAGAGCCACACATTAAGCACCCCTGCCTTTCACAGTTAACTGTTAATGCTAAAAAGTGAGCTGAAGTAAGCCAGCATTAAACCATTACAACTGTGGCCATGTACTTTGTGGAAAGTAGTATTACCTGCCCAGTAAATTCCTGTAGGCTTGTATGGGGCCAAGCTCTTCAGCTGGATATACACAGTGTTATTTTTTTCGTTCAGTTAGTGGGCTGAACAGAAGAAAAAAAAAAATCACAGATCCCTCTCTCCACACAAGTGATGTTGATGCAGGGATCTACTTTGTCGTGCTATTGTCTGATAGTGGGGACTACCCTCTTAGTTCAGCTTTTGAATTTGAATGTGTGTATACCCAGCTTAAGCCTCTTAAATGTAGCAGTACAGCCTGTTCAAGCCTATGAAGAGTGACTGAATAGGCAGTGCCAGATAATATTTCCGGACCCAGGATATAAACACTACATTAGGCCATGATATAGAGAGTTTTTAAGCACCTGGGATTGGGGAAGTTTGCTGTAGGGGATGTATATTTGGAAGCATTTGTAAAGGACTGTATTATACAGAAATTCATGTGCAGTTCACAATTGCAGGTACAAGAGGAGAGAATTTCCCATCAACAAGTGAAATGTGTAATCACAGAGGAGAAGATATGTAGTGTGTGTAAGAAAAAAATTGGAAACAGGTATGTAGTGACCCCATTCCAATTAGAAAAACATGTATGCCTGTTTATTTAGCCTTCAGTTCTTTTCAGGACATCAACAAATATGACCAATACACTACCATAGTGCATGGCAGAGAGATGCAAAGCAGCATGTCTCCCTAGCAAAAACACACACGCAGCACGCAATGTTTACCACACAAACAGCACATAACCCTTTAATCACCCCAGATGTTAACCCCTTCCTGCCCATTATTAGTACTGTCAGTGCTTTTTTATTGGCACTTAAGTCGCTGATTGCCGCCATTGCTAGTATAATAAAATTTTAATTCCAGTATATATACCGCCATTTAATTTTCACATAAACCAATTAATATACACTTATTAGGTTTTTTTTTTTAGCAAAGACTTAGCAGTATACATTTTGGCCTAGGTTTATTTTATTGGATGTATTTTATAGCAAAAAGTAAAAAATATATATATTAGGTCGAAGGCCAATCACTGTGGCCTGTTACCACGTGATCAGCTGTGTCCAATGACACAGTGGATCACAGAGTAAATACAGTTACCAGTTATCGGCAGGACTTTCCTCACTCTGTCACAGCATGAGGAAAGTACTGCGGATAACCGGCAGCTGTCACAGAGGAGATCAGCTGTGATGATCAGTGCCCTGCAGTAGTTACCATCAGTGCCGCCTATTCGTGCCCATCATTGCAGCATATAAGTGCGGTATCGTCAGTGCCTCCTCATCAATGCCCACCATTGCTGCCTCATCAGTGCCCATCAGTGCTGCCTATCAGTGCAGCTTCATCAACGCACATCAGTGAAGGAGAAAAATTACCTGTTTGCAAAATTTTATAATTGGAAAAAAAATGTTTTTTCCTTTGCTCTTTTTTTTGTTTATAGTACAAAAAAATAAAACAAACTAGACACAAACGCCCAGTGGGGTTAAATACCACCAAAAGAAAGCTCTATTTGTGTGAAAAACAATCATAAAATTTTCACATGGGTACAATGTTGCATGGCCGCACAATTGTCATTCAAAGTGCGACAGCTCTGAAAGCTGCAAATTGACCTGGGCAGGAAGGGGGTATAAGTGCCCTGTAGGCAAGTGGTTAAACAATATCATATTGCCTTGCAATGTGCCCCTGAACTTGCTAGGGAATTGATACTCCCAGAAAGCATCATTTCTGTAACATCCCCTCCCTCCTGCACTGCTGTCTGCAGTGCATATGTGTGCAGCAGCAAATAGCTGGTATGTTGTGATACTAGATGTACTGGATAACAATAATAGTTCTAGAATCTGTTGATTCTGTATCCAGCTTCAACCACTTAATAAAAAATAAATTGTCAGTCAGACTGAGTTGCACACGACTGGAATCACTGTGACACAGACGTTGCATTGACTGCAGTTGATTTTTATTTTCTTAGCAACAAAATTGGCAAGGGAGGCCATTTAGTAGTAGCTATCAAATCACTTATGAGCCAAAACCTGAAGTCCTGCTGCGAGGTAGGATAGTGGGGGAGCTTTACTGCCAGTGGCTATTTCCTCTGTATTTGCCAAAGAAAGCTATACTGCAATGTGTTTTAGAACGCTGCATTCGACAGTATCCTATGTAATTCAGCCTGAAGATGGAAGTATAATTATGTATCATGAAGGTTGGTTTTCCCAGAAGGCTCTTTTTCTGCCCATAGAGGTGGCTTATTTTCTTTATCAGCACAGTACACACTACATACAACTGACATGTAGAATAAGTGGCTTCCTGCTTCTAGGTCAATACATTTTTCTCCAGCAAAGAATCCAGAAGTTAACCATGGAAACTAATGATGTATTTGGCTGCATGTTTCTCATGTATGTTGTTACACATTTTACAGCCTGGTAAGCAGCTTGTACTCTTAGCATTTTCTGCTCCTGTGTAATTTCATATTTTCAATTATATTAGGTGGATAGGAGTACATAGCATTTCTTTATTAGTACTTCTACCCTAATATGGTTAGAAAGTGGCAATACTGGGATACCATGTTTCTTTACAATTACGTGTTGGTTACATTCAATTTCCATTTTACTTGAAGCAGTTTAACAATCATACCGAATAGGAATAATATGTGCTTGTCATTGTCTGTTATTCTACATGGGTGATCAGATCAGTTTTCATCATGCAGTAAAATATATATTCTTCTATCCCTCATTTGTCTGGTTTTCTCCTCTTATTCACAGTGCTTTTGCTCGCTATCCTAATGGTGTTGTTGTCCACTATTTCTGTGCAAAGGATACCAGCTCTGTCGACACCTGAAATCTGTGGAATAAGCAATGCAAACAACAAAATCAAATGAACTGTGAAAGGGCTGGGGGGACTGTATAGGAAGATGATCTGTAACCACCAAGTCACATATGAAAGATGACCTAAACCCACCAAGTCGCACATGGAAGATGACCTAAAATCACCAAGTCATAAATGGAAGATGACCTGTAACCACCAAGTCACACATGGAAGATGACTTGTAACCACCAAGTCACACATGGAAGATGACTTGTAACCACCAAGTCACACATGGAAGATGACCTGTAACCACCAAGTCACACATGGAAGATGACCTGTAACCACCAAGTCACATATGGAAGGATTAACAATGAGTTGTGCAGACGTCATAAATGTGTCACCTGACTAAACGCTAGACTCATCTGAACAATTTAATGATCCACCTAATCCTTGTATAAACTAAAAATAGCTATGGTTAAGATAATCTACAAAGGTAAACTTCCCACAGAGAAAAGTTTAACATGGTTGAAGTAAGATGTTGAGTCAACTTTTTATATGTTGTACAGGTTTGTTTATGTATGTAAATAGAAGTTTATAAAACTGATCTAATATTGGACAGTATACGGTACTGGCAATCCATTAATAGCACTGGCTTGTATTATATTAAACATACAAAGTGTCTATACTAAAGACAAGTCTTGGTAACACAGTAACAGCTCTGCCTAAATACAGCTTTGTGTCCATTTGTCATGTGGCTATTAGTCCTTTTTTATTCTGTACTGATGAATTTCTGTCTGATTTTGGCATATTCAGTTCTTTGTTATAATACTCCAAATGTTTTCTGCTACACAAGTATGTCAGCTATACTTTTTTTCTTCTTAGCATGGGAATAAATCAAAGGTAAGCTGACCATACAGCTTAGTTTCTCAGTGATACAAGTAAAATTTATTGCAAGAGGAAAATACATTTAAGGTGTGCTCTCGGAGTAGAGCTGTTTTTTTGTTTTTATTTTTTTTGCAGCTTAGGTATGCTACACAAGTGCTGTTCTGCCTTCTCTCTCCTTAGTTTCAGCTTACATCGAAGTCTTCTGGAGCTCCCAGAGGATGTTACAAGAAGCAGAAAAACACAGTGAGAAATTATTGAAAAATGGATTACAGAGCCATTAGGTAGTGAATCTGCATGGAATATTTTTGGGGAATAAGGACATCATTGACATAACTTGCTAGGATCACATATGCCTTAGTGTTGTTCGTGTTTTACCATACGCATACATCTTAATTCTGCATCTGTCAACCCATACTGCCACAGTTCTCAGTTGTGCATTCTGTTTTCCATTGATATGTGCAGAATTTATAATCATCAGTGTCATTCAAGCAGCTGAAATTCTGAGCTAATCTATGTTCCCCCTAAACATAATATAGCTGCAATATGAGTAGACTCACCTGACGTTTTTGTATTCCCCAGAGTGAGGTCTAGTTGCAGGCAGAATGTAAAATAAAAGGAATTGTAATGTTTGCAGAAATGTAAGCCTGCCAGTCTGTTTTGGACTTCAGTAGGTGGACCTCATAAATGGACAAGTGGTTAAAATGACGCAAATCCTGCAGGACAGTACTACAATTGTTTTTTTTTTTTTCATAAAGTCTTTACAAAGAAGATAGACCAGTACAGCAGTGCAGGATACATAATACAGTTGACATGTAAACAAACTAAGATTCCTTATATCATTTAAGTGTACTGTATATGAATCAATTCTAGGGCGAAAACATGATAGGACAAATCACAAGTGGAGTTTGAAGGTGTTGGGGGGGGGGGGGGAGTGTGTGACCAGGAATGATGATGGGGTGAAGGAGAGAGAGGGTGTATCTGCAGGATCCAAGGGCACCCCTACTGCCTTGGAGGATTAAGAGCATCTTCTCAAATATGGCTGTATTTCCCCTCTTCCCTAAAACAACCATGGTTTCAAAAACTTCTCTCCCTGTTTTAAGAATTAGGGTGACATGTTCCACAGTACATAATTCCAAGGTGGGGGGATGATCTGCTTCAACAGCAGTGAGACACATTTCCATTCTGTTGCAGAGATGGACATATAGAGCTTGTGCGTAGGTATTTTGATGTGCGGGCTAAGGGGCAGTAAGTCGGTTACACGGTTCTTACAAAGGTCAATGTCTGCTTCTAAAGAATTGAATCCCATTCCAAAAATGGCTAAACACAGGGCAGTCCCAGAAATGATGGAGTGGAATATTTATAGACTGTTGGCAGCACCAGTACAAAAGAGATTTGTGGGAAGATTTAAGGGAAGGTTGAAGGAACTTTATTTAATCTGGAAAGGATTTTAAATCCTGATTCCTGTATTGTTAGCTTTTGTGGATTTATGGGAAAAGTACAGAATCTGCTTTAGCAAGAATATAGTTCTCCTATTTCTGTATGTATGGTGGGGAGTGATTGACAGGTGGCTGGTTCAATAGACAGTAGGAGTATGAAAGTGTATGATCCATGGTAGTGGGATACAAACAAAGATCTTTAAAAAGTGGTGGAGGTCAAAGAAAAATGTAAGTTTTGTTGCCCCTCCATGCTGACACTTGTGGGTTCTACCAGGGCCTATACTGTATATCAGATGTTGTTTTCCAGCCCCCTGAAAACACAAAAATTCCTTACCTAATAACTTCTATTAGGGGTTCAAGGCCCATGCCTAGACATCTCCCTACTCAGTGTGGAGGGAACGTGGGGTTATAATTGGAGATCCATGTGTCCACTGCCATCAGATTCTAGTTTTGTGCAAGAACTTGAAGGGCCTTCCCTATCTTAGGTGGCAATTCATCTTGGGTCCAAGTGAGCGCAGAAGCCAAAATAGGCCTTGCAGCGGTTGGTGTAGCTGGGCTTGTTTTAATTGGACCCACAATTTTGCAGAGGAGTGTTCAGACCAATCAAGGGCCCTAGCCAATGAACCACTTTGTGGTAGAGCAGGGGGTCTGGGAAGCCAATACCTCTCTGGAGTTTCTATTTTACGAAATTGCCTGTATTAACCTAATGTCTATGAGGGAATTTTGTAAGGAGTAACCAAAAGGTTTTTTACAGGTAGGGTTTAGAGCAGATAAAGGAGGTGTGGGAGTATATTTATTTTTAGTATGTTATTCCTTTCAACCCATGAAAATATCCTATCCCATTTCTACCAATACTTGTTTACCTTGGAATGGAAAGGAGGGGAGTTAAAACTGTATTAAACCCAAAAAATTTAATATATTGCAGTTTACCCATTCTAAGATGTGGTGACTGCATTATTTTTTTTTATTTGAACCCATTAATCCCGCCAGAAAAGTTGTCATTGTTCAACTTTAGAAAAAGCTGTTCAGTAAGAGTGGCAGAGGGTTGGTTGAGATGAAAAAAAATTTAACACTGACGGGTGTCTACAATAGTCCGCTTGTATTTATTTCTAAACCTTTATCCCAAAAGGTAAAAAAAAACTTGTAACTGCTTAAAAAGTGTTAGCTGGACTTGAGTTTTAATTTGTTAAGCAAGTGCATCTAAATCTGACTAGTGTATCTAACACTACCTTCTCCCCAGGTTGATAATGTTGCTGTCCAAAGGTGTTTCTGTTGCTCCTCCATGCAGAAGCAGACTGGAGATACCCTATGACTAGAGATGTTACTAACTGGATGACTAGGTGAGAATAAAGGAAAAAGACCAACCTAAAAAAAGAAAACTAGTGCAGCCACCACATCGAAGGATTGGTAAGCTGCAATATATTACATTTTTTTGTTTTGCTTATAATATTTTAAGGGCGATTATAGTACCTTGGGGTTTGTTGGCCATTTTTAATGTAGTATATTAAAAAGTTCATTCAATTTATATAGTTTCTGATATGTAAAGTGTTTTTTTTTAATTGGAAAGAATGCCAGATTCATTCATTTAGAGCCAACAACAGGTTAGATAGCAAGATTTCAAAGGAGAGAGGAGGCAGCGCTGATGGATCCTATTACACAGTGGAAAGTAGGTTGAAAAAAAAAAAAAGAGACACCAGTCCATCTACTTCAACCTCTCCCCTAAAAAACAAAAAAAACTTATATACAAATACAAAACCTCTATACGCACTCATATACCCATAGTTAATCCAGAAGAAGGTGTTTAAGGATTTAGGAGTTTGAGAAAAATCCAATCCACCCAATAGATTACCTTCTTGCTGTCTGTTGATAACAAGTTTGTGCGGTTCTTTTTTTGTGTGAGCAACATGAATCAAGTTCAGTGCTTTGTGGTGGTGTCCTTTGCTGATTTTACAACAAATGCCCTTTTTAGAACATTAGAGAAAATGTGCTTCTAATACTGTCCCAGAATGTCACATACTTACTAGAATTTTCCTTTCCTGAGGGGCTCCTTGTCAATACAGCCGGGAACTAACTAGCTACAGCGGGGGAGGCATAATGGTATACACTCCTCAATTCTGGCTAAAAAGTAGAAGTCAGGAATTCTCTGCCAAACTCAACTGTCATTAAGACTGCTTCTATACAGTAATGAGCCATGAACGTATATATTAACCCCCAAGTAGCTGCTTTGCAGATAGTATCTGGGAATGCTCAGCCTTCTGCCGCTCACAAAGTCGAGACCCTTTGGGTGGACAGTGAGGTGATCCCCCTGGCACAGCCAACCCTTTCAACTTGTAGGCCAAGGAGAGGAGCTTCACCAAGCAGGAGGCAATGATCTTGTTGGAAACCATAAAATCATTACACTTCCTAATGCCAGATGTCACCTTGATGTTAAATTGTAAACCTTGACCCACATCTGATGGGTTAACTTCTTGGGTGCTCCCCAAGAGGGATGTTGGAAGGACAACTTTTTGTGTGATATGGACTCCGAAGGCCACTTAAGTACGATTTTTGAGCATCAGCATGAGTTCCACCCTATCTGGGATGAATGTAAGGGTTTTCTAAAGCCCAGGCCTGATAATATGGACACTCCTCTGGTTGATATAATTGCCACCTGGAAAACGGTTTTCAAAGAAAGGTACCACAAGGGGCCACTTTGAAGGCATCTGATGCAAA